AGCTTGCTGTCTGAAAGTCTGCTTCTGCATCTTAGCCAGTGCCTGCTGTCGGCAAATTCTGCCTCGCAGCTTCTTACCGCGCAAGAGGATCGTGACAGTTCACGTGTGATCTACAAGCACGCTTTACCAACGTATGATCTCTTTCGGCGTTTGGTCGCGAATGTGCCTGGCTGAGGTGCAGGTCTGTCCAGCGACGCCTGCCGCAAAGCGGCTGGGGCACCATAGAGTCGGATGATGCATTCGCAGGCCATGCTGAAAGAGACGTGGTTAGAATTCTTGAGATTTGGAGCCTGTAAGATCAACAGAACATCAGTGAGCCGAAGACAACCAATCCCCCTAGCTTCGTACACACTTGCGCACGCACAAGCCTCAGAACCCAAAGTGCCCTAGGCCTCAGGCCAGAAACATGTTCCACAAAGGATGCAGCCATCCTGACTTTCTGGCATCTGTTGATGTCTCGAAGACAGAAAGGTTAAGAGAGCTGTGTTTGACATCCGGGGCTCAAGCTTGCTGTGCTTGCTGTGCTTGTCCTTTATGGCTGCACCCGCTGAGCCATCCTATCTTAGCTACATTTTGTGCCACATTAATGCCTTGGCTACCGAGGTCCGGCATGTAATTTGTTCGACCGTATGTTACTTTCACGCTTGGTTTGCAATCTGTATCTCCAGCCATGAAGCCACGTCGTCTGAGCGCCAGCTGCAGGTGCACTGCTCTGGACTTGTTTTGCAGATACACACCGCAATGCCGTGTTTTCTGTTGTACGGGCAGCTGCTGGCAGCTGCATGAAGCTATGTTTTCGGAGACTTTGAAGAGGGGGCTTGACCCGGAGTTCAATCAAATCGGTACGTTGGATTTTGCATGTTTGCGGGTTATTTTTCGCCGCTGCAGACCAAAAGCATCAGCTGTATCATGCAGTATCTGGAAGTGTTGCCTCAGATTCCACTTCTGAAAAAGCTTCGCAAGCTTGCCGCAAAGGTGTGAACAATAAAATGCCACAACGCGCCTGCAGGAACGTGATGCAGCAAGTCAGACGGTCGAAGGTTGTGGTAACGGATGTTGAGTGAACTTATGATGCGCGAGTCGAAGCATCTTGCCAGTGCAGGAGCTGAAGGGATCCGGTTAGCGAACCAATGGAATCATAAAATCACAACCATGTAGAAGTAATCTTCTTAAGTCGTTCCGCATGATTCTGCACTTGCACGAACACAGTCCATAGCTTTCTATGCTGAATGACTTAAGAAGAACAAGTTGTCGAAATGCTTTCAGATTGTGGTAATTCTCCGGCAGTTTGAATGTGGGTCTAGAGATTCCAGAGTCTAGATCCCCATCTGCATGTGGAACCCTTGCGGATTTCTTGGTGAAATTATTCATGGACAGGAATGGCCCGTAACGTGCTTTCGTGTTGTTGAAGGAATGCAAGGAACCCAAAAAGTCACATGACTTGGCGACTTTGGCACGGTTTTTACGCTGCTGCGCAACTTGCCAAACTTGTGTACTGCACTGGAGCGAGGGCCAAATTCAGAGAGGAGACAGATCAGTCCAAGTTGGGACAGAGGGGGTGGTTTCAATAGGAAGGTGAGGAGTGGACAGGAGGGAAGTGGTGACAGTCCACACCATAAAGGCAAGACTAGAGTGCGGGAACTTGTGGGCAAGCAAGCGAGTTCCATTACTCAGTGGACAACTCAGTACATGGAATGCGCCGGTTTGCAGAGGTGTTCCCAGGGGGTGCCAGCGGTGGACTCACCACGCTGGAGATAAGACCAGAGCTGCAAAGCTGTGCCCCAACAAAAAGCAATGCGAAACCCTGACCCTAAATTCTAAACCCGCGTCATGTCTACGGACAGCGCGACCCTCTCAGTCAACAGGTGAACGTGCGATTTTTGTTACAAAGAATGGGTTCTCAGGAGGAAGCGCCGGTCGACTGAGCTATTTCCTTCTGAAAGTGTCATGGGTCCAGGTTTCTTCCAGCAATGGTCGGAAAAGGTCGGAGCCAAATCTGCAAAGGATGAGGGCACACACCCACACACTTTGAATCGCACGGTGTGAGTGGTAAGAGACTTGAGGATGGAGGGCAACACCTGTTATGTTTGGCACGGTTTCGGACTTCCTGCCCTGACATGTCTTTAAAGGTGGCCTGGAGTGAGGATCTGGGTTTTTAAGGGCATGAGGGGTGCTACTGGTTGCCAACTGCCAAGCTTGGAGGAAGTGGCAGGGATGTCACTGAAAGAAGTTGAGCAAGGTCTTGTCTTCTTGATACCTTTTCGGCCAGGAATCCCAGGATTCCCAGAAACCTCAGTCCAATATCTCGGAGTCCATAGTGACGACGTGACAGCAGTGTGATAGTCAGCCGCCATTTCGCAAGACACAGAGGCCCGAAACATCGGGGCCCGCGGAGTTTTTAGGTTTCTTTTGAGAGATTTGTCGAAGCCGGAAGGTGTGGTCTTCTTCTGTTGCTGTGCCCTGCCCTGGTCGGCTTTGTTGCGTTGCGGCCATCTCGTCCGGGCCCCAGTGGGTAGAGGCGTCTGTTGCAGTAGCTCAGTAGCTGAGATTCGACAGGGTTTGGGGGGTTAGCCGTCAGCGCGGAGAAGTCTGAAGCCTTTGACGTCAAGCCAACTATGTCAACAGCACACACTCAGAGGGCTCTGTCTGTGGACGACTGCGGCTCTCTGAGGTCCCGCATCTCGAGTTGCAGCCCGTGCCGAGTCTCGTACAGTTTCTGAGGAAAAGGACTGCCGTCGCAGGGCGACAACCGACCGCATTCCAACAAGTTTCTGTTGCTAAAGCCTCAGCTTGACGCTCAGGAGATTTCGGACAAGCTTGACGAAGCACGAAGCCCATAGATTGGCTTGAGTACATCTGTGGCACGTGTTATGGAATCGCTGGTATGTGGCGCTCGCCGCTAGTCCAAAGACACCAGGTGCTGAAAAAGAGGGGCCTCAAGAAGGACATCAGTCCAGATGATGCCGATGTCGAAGATGATGATGAACTTTCGGGCTTGTCTGAGAGCGCGCAGAAGGTGCGCCTCATGAATGCTCCCTTTTGCGGACACGCGTCGTATGCTGTTGTCTCGTTTCTGTGACTTGAGATAGTTGAAGATTGTTCAGACATGCCGAGAACGCAGCTTGGCAAGTGAAGGCTGTGGACAGGGCCACGGGGAAGAAGCTCAAGCGACGTGAGCTGAAGGCAGTTTTTTGCACAGAGTGTTATCGTCTTGAGAATGCGGAGTGTCCGCAGAGAGCTGCTTTGCTGAGTCTTTGCTGTGAGTTGTTTTGTGTGAGGCCCCAAAGAAGAGGTCCAGGTCCATCGTCAAGAAGAGCTTGGATGAGGCTCAGTAGGGACCTTCCCACTTTGACCTTTCGAGAGGGGCAGGGAGAAGACGCCTTATTGTGGCTTCTTGTGGCTTCCTCGCAGTGCCTTTGCCAGGTGTTGAAATCCGCCAGTGACGAAGACGAGCGGCCAAACTTCCTTCCCGCCAAGCGCGACGTGTACAAAGAGGCCTCAGACCCCTGCAACTTATGCCGCCAATGCGCTGTGCAATGCAAAAGCGCGAATCCCCTCTGTGTGCACACTCTGAGCATCTCTGAGCATCTCTGCTTGATGAGGTTGGTATCACCCGACAAGAGGTGGAGAGGTATTGGAAGCGTCGCGATGAAAGCTCCAAGAACTTTGTTGACAAGTTTGCTGGTGACTGCCTTAGCCAGTGAATGTCTGTCACCGTGCAGCAGAGCTGCCGAAGTGTCAAGTTCTGATCAGACCTGACTGTGTGCAGGTCCGTACTTCCTGATCATTCCGGTGCTGGTTGTCATCATTCTCTACTTGATCTACGACTCCATTGTTAACCCACAGGAGTTTGTCACTGCTTCTATGACAGGACTGGATTGAAAGCCTTGACCACGGAACCGTGGCGCGCTTGTTGTTGCAAGGCTTTCTGAGACAGGCACTGGCGAACCGCTCTGCGAGAGAAATTGTCCCCACTGAGACTTCTTGATTCTTGGATGTCGTGGGGGCGCAGGGCCCCGACAATCTAGAAAGGCTGCAGGTTTTTAAGTTCGGGTATGTTCGGGTCGGAATCGACAGAGTAGGGGTCACAGTGCCGTGCTACGGTTGAAAGTCAAGAGGAACTACAGTGTAGGCTTTTTGGGGGCCCAGAAGGTTGCTGCAGTGCCTAGGACATGCGGGTTAAAGGCAAGGGTTCAGGGGTTAAAGGGTTCTTCTAGGGGCCTCCGTGGGTCCTAAGCAGGTGGACTGTTCTGCCTGCGATGTGGTAGATCAGGCCGAGCCCAACTCCCAGCATGTCCTGCTGATTTGGCTACGCACGCAGTGCCGTTTGGATCTGGGAGGCAAGGGCTCGGGGTCTGCTAGGGGTCGCTCCCTGGGTCCCTGGTTGGTCCCGAGGAATCCGCAGCACGACAAATCTCGGTTCTCCATTTAAACGACTGCAAATTCAACCAAAAGGGAGGCGAGACAAACATGAGGGGTCCCTGGAAGCCTCGAAGAGTTCGAGTTGTGTGGAAACCACCTGCCATTTGGCTCGGCAACCCAGTAACGTGTACACTTTCTCGGGTTTGTGTGTTGCCTCAGTGGGCCAGGGCCTTGGCGCAAGCTACACTTCCCTGCTGGACATGCGTTGACAATCCCAAACCCACACATTTTCTCCTGAGGTTTGATCGTGGGATTCCTGGCAGCAGCCTGCCCTTAAATGCACGTTTGCAGGACTCCACGTGAAGTGATGAAGCCGTGACGCTGCGTCGTGTAGCATTGAAGTTCAGTGAGTCGATGTGTGTTGTTCTCACGCCTTTGTTAACGTGCTCTTTTTTTTTGAGGATGTCTTGAGCTGTGTTTGTACAGGACTGGGGATTGAGGGCGCAAAGAAGCTCTGGCCGGCACCTTGTTCTTCTTGGGTTCGGGCTGCCGAGTTCAGTACCTTAGCTTGGTGACTGCGGTGACTGCTATTGGCTATCCCTTGTTTCTCAGGATTGCTGTCGAGTCGTTGGCCTGATATGCTGACATTTTACGTATGGTCCCGCCTTCTCGTTTGGGCCCTTCTCATAGCTCAGTGTCGCAAGGTGACCAGATGCTTCTTGTCAACCAGCTTGTGGAAAGCAGACCCTGTATCTTTCAGACGCAAGCCTGCATGGCAGGGTTGCAGAACGAGCAGAGCACAAGAAGGCGGGGCCTTCAAATCAAGGTCTTGAGCACGCTTTTCAGCCAATGAGGGTTCAACATCAGAACGTACCTGTTTCAATGTCTTGTTGGTGCCATCAGCGAGACCTGCACTGCCAGCAAGTTTCCTGCCATTAGCCTCGAGCACGCCCCCTTCCAGCGGAGGGACTCCACTTGCACTGGAGACTAGGTATTTCATTTCTTGTTGCGAAGCTTCTTCCGGCACCCTAACATCTGGCGGGAGCTGTTTGCGCATTCAGTGGCTTCTCTTCCGGATTTCAGGTGCATCCTGCCGGCCACAGAAGAAAGCCCAAGGCACGCCAAGAGCTACTGGCTCCGATGAAAACTGCCATTCTGAGCCGCCACAGTTTTTATCAAGGGCATGCTTGGACCTGGCAAGGCTTTTGAGCTTATTGACCGGGGCAATGCCGAATTGGGCATTCAGCCCACCGCAGCGCAGCAGCATTGATCATGCGTTGAGCGCATTAGTAATGTACGAACGATGGCAACGGTGGGCATCATTTCCCACTGCGGCGTTGGATAGCTGTCGGAGGGCGGGTCCTGGACGTAAAGAGAGACGAAGCCACATGCCGCAAAAGCTTCGAACTTCTGAGAAGAACAGGCTACAACATTCAGCAGGGCTCAGCTCAGGGCCTGTATCCTGCAAAGTTCACAGTACAACAAAATGTCCTTGGACGAACAGATGCAAATGTTGGTGGACTCCCCGAAACACAGGCACTCCAACGCCTAACAAATTCGGGAAACAGCGCGGCCACAGTGACAACAACTCGTCACCAAAAAGCTGTCCTAGAGCTTACCAAGTTTATGAGAGAGGTTGGCACGGCTGCTCAGGTAAGTGTGCACGGCAAGATCTTCCAGGCTGGCCACTCCCTCGCAGTTCGGACTGTGGTTGAAGCCTCCAAAGCCGCAGATCTGCAACAAATCGCTGTTCGTCTTTGGACTGGACGGCTGGATCAGACGGCATGTGGGGTCCTCGCGATGTCAGACGTGAGCAAACAGTTCAAAGTGCTGAGAAAAGCAGCTTGTCGCTGCATCATGTCGACAAAGCATCTTGAGCAAGCGAAGCAGCCTCGACGCATGGCAGGCTCAAACAGCCTACCAGTGTCAATGTGATTTCCGGCCAAGGGATCTAGAATGTAGAAGTTTGAACATGCCACAGTGGCACTGAAATGGACTAATGAGCCCTGTAACACTCAGGTCATGAGTTTTGTTGGCTGGGTCCGGCTCTCAAAAGGGGTCTCAAGAAAGCACCGCGGCTCCGATTCATTTTGCCTTTCGCAGCTTCATTCTCATTTTCATTCTCGTGTCGCACTCGCATGATGGCAGGTTTGGTTTGACCGGATCATCCTGTTCCTCATCGCGTTGAATTCAATAGGCGCAATGGTCTGGCGGGTCATCGGTGTGGTGTCCTTTTTTGCTGGCGCATAAACAGCACACCAACAGCACACCAGCGAAGAAGGCTTCCGGCACAACTTTTGCCTTCTTCACGTCCAGGCCTCGCCATGGTGGACTGGCGCGGTGACGCCAACGCAGGCAAAGAAGTAACTAAGTAGTGGAGCTCATTCGTGAGATGCTGCTTTCTTTGTTCTCAATATGGCAAGAGAAGGGGAGTGACCATGAGTGATCCTTGAAGGGGGCAAATGTCTCAAGCTTGGGGGGGGGGCAGGTTTCAATGGGTTTTACAACAATGTCTTGGACCTGTGGCTCACGATCTTCTTCACCCTGGAGGGCATCTTGAAGGCTCGTGGCAGCTAGTGGTCCATGCAGACGCGTGGTGGACAGCAGTTCTGACAGGTTATGGCTTGGGGATTCTTCTGGGACAAGAACTCATACCTTCGAGATGCCGGCAAGCCCAGTGTGATGTTGACAGGAGCCTCGACTTGCGACCGTCACTAGACCGTCTCCATACTGAAATTTGAGGCCTGGAACTGGCTGGACTTCATCGTCATCCTGACAGCATTGCCCTCACTGTCCGCACATCATTTCAACAGATGCGCGTCATGCCTTCTCAAGGTGTTCCTATTTGTTTTTGAGAGAGAGAGAGAGAGAGAGAGAGAGAGAGAACAAAACAAATGAGAACGAGAAGAAGAGAGCGAGCGAGCCTTGGGGGAGCCCCTTCGAAGGGCTACGGACACTGGCAGGAAGGCAGGGAGGAAGGAAGGAAAGACGGAGAGAAGGTTGCAAGGGCCTTTCAGATTGGGCGGAGCTGTGGCGTGGCCGAAGACCGCCACTTTTGCGGGTTGTATAGTTCCGCGAGACGCGGTATCGGAAGAGAGAGAGAGAGAGTGAGAGAGTGAGAGAGTGAGAGAGTGAGAGAGAGTGAGCGAGAGTGAGCGAGTGAGTGAGCGAGTGAGTGAGCGAGTGAGTGAGTGAGTGAGAAAAATTGGCTGTCAAGGCTTGGGCGACCTACCTGCCAGGTTCGATGCAACAGTTGATCAAGTTCAGAAGCGGTAGTGGTCGGAGCTGTTTCTGGCGCGTACTTCCCAGTTTGGTAGTGTTGTTCTTTTCCACTACCATGCAAGCAAGGGGGTCAACAGAGAGGAAGATGGAGCGCATCTGCATGTGGCAAACATGCAGTATGCTTCCTTCCTTATCTGGTACAGAAGTGTGCAAGCAACACGTTCTGCGAAGCGCCCGTCACGACTGGGTCCGTACCAGAGATTTGAATAGCCCTCCACCTCACCCCACCTACTCACCGAGCAGGCAGTGATTTTCATCTCGTAAGCTCTCAGTGGTTCCTGTTTGATGCGGGGCTGTAATCAACCAGGTTAGCCTGTAGCGTGCTGCAAGTGCAGGTGGTGGAGCAGACAGGTCTCGTCCCTATGTCTGTGTTTCTCTGTACCTGTCGCTGATAGGTTACATCTGCTCATGAGCTGCTCATTGCATTCACCAGAAGTCTGGAAGTCCGCAAAACGCTTGTAAAAGTCTTGCTTGTTCGCTTCGAGACTCGAGACTTGAGAATCCTTTTCCGAGTCTCGGCTTCTTCCGTGTCTTCCGCGCCTTGCGGCCATTGCGGTCGCTGAACGCGGTGCCACAGATGAAGGCTGGCGAGTGATCGGCGAACTTGGCGAGTGGCTTGAAGAGTTGGAAGTGGTAAATATGGAAACATGTGGAAACTAGATCCTGTTTGAACTTCAGGTCAGTTCCACATGTTCTAGTCAAGACCGCCAGCAGAAGGTACTTGTCAACACCGTGATTAGCTCTGTCCCTCGCCTGGGCAACGTCTCTGCCGGGCACACGGGGTGTTCAGAGAGGAAAGAGGCGTGAAAGAGGTATTTGTACTTGAGAGCGATCTCACAACTGCAGCAGGATCTGTGCAGCCATTGTGAGGCTGTGGGAGCCTTCCTTTTCCTCGTGTTCGGCATCGTAGGCGTCTTGAAAGTCCATGTGCAAGAGATCTCCTGCCGTGGAGATCCAGGGCTTCAGAATTTAGGCTTTGCACGAAGCGCCTACGCTGATCCGAGATGTATGCAGGTGTCACCCTGATGAGCGGTGTTTTCAATCGGCTCTGCCACACATCTCCGAATCCGGCCTCTTGGCGGAACACTTTCACAGCACAGGTAAGGAGCTGCATGCGAGGTGTCTGATCCCTTTCGGTCAAGCGGCCACGCACCAGGTTTTGATCTTTCAAAACGGCACCGGAACACAGTGCTGGCCTGGGTCTCGGATGGCGGGGCGCAGTTTATGGGTGAAAGGCTTTCAGTTTCACTAATGCGGAGCCCTTCGCTCGTGGCTGCAATAAATCCAAGGTCCTGGCCTTATGCAGAGGATGACCGCCTGTGCGGCGGCGCCTATAACTGTGCGGCGCTCGGAGCGGAGTCGCCGACTCCATCGCTTGACCAGAAAATTTCACGAAGCAGTTTCAGAATTTGTTTGTTTTTCTTGGAAGCCTTTTTTCTTTGATTTTTTTAATTCACTTCTTGATCGTCTCTTATATGCGTTCCCTGTCGCCTATGCCGAGGCGAGGCTTCCGGTGGCTTCTGCGGCGGCCTCGAAGAGGCCTCGTCGAAGTGGCTTCACGGCCCCCGAGCCCCGCATTGAGGGCCTTGAGGGCTCCACTTTTTGTTTTTTTTGTTTTTTTTCCTCTGCTACTCTTCGTTGTCTTTCCTTCTGGCATGGGGCTGCTTGTGCCCGGGAAGTGTTGATTGCACCCGGGCGCGGACACACACACACACACACAACAAAGAGTATCTGCTTCGAGGGTGAGCTGAATGAGTCTGGGTTGTGTATACCAACCGGCTCAGTTCTTTTCGCCCCCCCCCCCCCCCAACGACCAGCAAGGGAAGCACATCTGTGAACAGACACGGGGAAATGTTTGGGACAAGCCCCTGCACTCACTTGGAGCCGGCGTTTTATTCGGTTCTTCGGCCGGCATGAAGCAATTTCTGTCGGGATGGCTTTGCCGACGGAGGGATCCGCTCGGGGCAGACTCGGATTTCATGGGTCTGTAGTCTGGAATGCCAGACGCGCAGCTGGACTTTGTGATATCGCATCAAGCAAAGCTGAGAATCTACATTTCCGAGGTCAAGTGCATTGCCTTAAGGGAAATCGTGTCATCTTGTATCTCCAAGAAGCTCTGAGTCTATGGCTGCTTTGGCTGCAGGACCAGCGCGAGGAGCTGAGGCCGTACTTCGGTGGGAACGGCAGGTGCCACGGTGCACGTTCACGAAGTTGACTCGGAGTGCGCAGATCACGTGTGTCGATAGGAGTACACACAGGGTAAAACACAAGTGCTGTTGTTGCTTCATATCCAGATCATGATGTTGAGCAGAGATGGCACTTCTTTTCTTGGAACGGTGCTGGCTTTGTGCACGCTCTCCGTGTGAGAGTGCCGCCTTTTCTCCATGGACTTCGTGCAGGTTGGGGCTGCCTTGGTGCCCTGGAAGTGAGCCCCGAAAGTTGACGGCCCAGTCGTCCCGAATCTGTAGATTCGTTGAGCTTCGTTGAGCTTCGCTCAAGTTTGCACGGTGGCTCAGGCTTACGCCTGATTCAGAGTACATGAACTTCGACAACATGTTGTGGGCGCTGCTGGTGGTCTTTCAGTGCATGACCATGGAAGGTCGGCTTTTGCCAGCTGAAGTTGGTTTCATTTGCAGGACAGGAGTTTTGCAGAGCAGCATTTGCTTCGCCATGAAGGGGACAACTTTGACAACGACTTTCAGTGAGATGGCTTGCTTTTATGTTGTATGCGATCGCCAAATGATCAGCGACTGAGTTGTTGTGGGGCCTGAGCATGACAAAGTCTTCAGAGCCGCAGGCTGGACAGACATCATGTACCGTGTGCAAGATGCATATGACTTTGTGGCCGCAGCCTCGGACAGATCACCGTGCTCGATGTGTGATGCTGCTTACATGACCAGCTTCATGCATAGAACAGCATGAACTAACGTAGCAGAAGGGTGCTTGTTGTTGCAGATCGAGGTTCCCTGACTCCTTTGCAAGAGTGACCCTGAGGCTGCCACAGTCTACTTCTTCCTGCTCATACCGGTGCGCCGATTGTGTTGACGCTGTCGTATGATGCCAAAGATTGGGCGTTGTCGTTGTGCATGGATGAACGAATGCTCGCAGGAGTAAGTCTGTATTTTGAAGTAGTTCTTCGTCTTACAGAGCTACACACTTGATAGTAGCTTCGGAAAAAACGCTAGTCACTCAACTGGGGCACATCAAACCAAGTGTTTTCATGCTAGTGTGACAATCCAATCACTGCCTCTGCTCAGCTCACGTCTTTCTTCTTGCTGAACGTTGCGCTGGCCGTGGTAGACGAGGCACGCAAGCTTCTTTCGGCTACCGGGTCATGTGTCCGAGTGCCTTCATAAGACGCTGAGCTGGCTATACTAGCTCGGTGTCAGTGAACATTGCAGCAAAACGCCCAAGCCCAAGCATCCCAATGACGAGGCCCGAGCCGACTTTGACGAGGAGGAGGTGGGGGTGTGCACTGCGGAGCATTCATGTTTCAGTCAGCTGTCTTCTCAATGCTGTTTGCAGTGCATGTAGGGCTCACTGGGATCACAAAGAGGCCTAGTTACATTTCTCATCATTTCTCTAGGCTCAGATGATGCCGCTTGCAAAGCATCTCTGAGTCTTGTGACCGCTGTAAGACTGCGGTCCACCCGTCCGGGCGGAGGACGAGGACGAGGACAATGAGAAGGACGGAGGTGCGACGACCGGTGCATTGAACGACACATCAGTAGTTCCAGGTAGTTTCCGCAGCTGCTTCTTTCCCTTCGGGTACTTCTTCTGCATTGTTGTTTCACAGCACTAGAGGATGCAGATGGATGCAGTACTAAACTGTTGAGTCTGATTGCTTGGCATCTGGTGCATGCTTCTACGAACTTCGGATGGACGAGTCAGCGGGTCCCAGGGGGTCCCGGTCTGCTCAGCAACTTTGCTGACTCATCGTTTCCCGATGCCAATGATCCAAGTTCGGCGACAACTCAGCAGTTCTGACACGTTTTCTGCGATTGAATCTGGCTGCGGGCTCGAAGCCCTTCGGGTCCTGAATATTTACACGGTCACCCGCATGCGCTCTTTCTTTTCTTCAAGAGCCTTGCTTCCCTTGGTTCAGAAGCCCTTCGCAAGTCTCTTCTGGGCGAGGATGACGAGGAGCGAGGGCCAATTCTTTCACAACACGGGGGGCATCGGGGAGCATTTTGAGAGGGCATCTTGAGCAGACTCCGCGGCATCTCGCAGGATCCGGACGAGCAGCCGCCGTGGCTGGATTGCAGCCTCGTGCTCCCGCCTTACTGGCCAAGTAACCGGTTAGCATTCCTTTTAGTGCTGTGCTCCCTTCACGTCGTGCCTCAGGCACACCTGCAGAGCCATAGCCTTCAGCGAGTGGTTTATGAATGTCATCATGCTTTTCATTGTCAGCAACGCGGCGTCCTTGGCTGCCTTGGGATTCCTGGGGCCTTCGGGTCGTGCGCTTGCAACTTGGAGTATTGCGGGAGTGAGGTCATCACAATGATGATGGAGAGCTTCCCACCACCATCGGGGAGCCAGCAGGACGACTTACAGGGTCAAGACTTGCTGCGCACAGACGCATCGTCGACATTGATAGCACAGAATTATGCAAATATGTTGCGATGCTGTCAGCGCTCTTGAACTTCTCTTGTGCAGCCTTTGTGTGTTGCTTCAGGTTGAACTTGCATAGCGGCGTAGCGATTGATCGCAGTATGATGCAGGATGTCCTCGGCTCTCTGGAGCTCACATTTTTGGTGGTCTTCTGTGTGGAGATGGCCGTTCTGCTGACTGCACTAGGCTTGTGCCTCACCTGTCTCTGGGGACGTCATCAAGCAAAAGCAAGCATTGCACTTCAGAGATCACGGTGGCTGTGTGTCTGCAGGACCGCACAAGCTCTGCGCTCAGAATTGATCTGATGCAAGTGAAAGGTCAGGCTAGTCGGCTCATGTCTGCCCTTGAGCTTCGCTCTGTAAGTAAGTGTCCGGTCTCACAGACACAAAGGGCACAGATCAATAGCTAGCACTTCCTTCATTTCCTTCGCATTCTGGAGAGGTACTTCTCCAATCCAGTGACGGCTTTCGATGGCGTCATTGTGATCACTTCTGTCGTCCAGGCTGGTGCGATGACTCGGTGAAGGTGTCGATGTCTCGGTTTGCTCTGGCCCATTTTTTCCTGCATGTGGGCCACTTATCGTTTGTTGGAGGGTGGCTCTGCCGCTCTGCAGTGGCAAAGCATGTTAGATCCACGTCGAGAAACTTCGTCTTCTTATCACAAAGGGCCACAAAGGGAACATCGCTGCTTGCTATTGGGTTCCATAGCAACCGGAAAGAGATCGAAACATGAGAGCGTGCAACCTCTCTTTTCTGCGTCAGATGTGCATCGGGCAAGCTGGGCCCTTCACAGCGCTGCGGACGCTGCGCCTCTTCCGGGTGCCGAAAGTTGGTTCATGATGGACATTGATGGACTTCAGGCACAACAGTCTCGATTGTTCAACTCGCCACAGGTCCTAAATAAGCTTGCCAACCGATGGCCATCCTTCAAGGTCCTCCTCAAGGCTCCGAATTCATCCTGCGCATGTTGAGTCGTAGCTTTGGGACCGTCATGTGGTTCACGTGAGCCGCGCTGCAAAGGCCATGGTATTGACAGCCATCTCGCTGAATTACTGGCTCATCCTTTTTGCGTGCTCGCCTTGGCCAGTTGCAATGGCAATGACATACGTTCAGCGTTTGTGGTGCAGCTTTGCTAGTGTGAGGCCACCTTAGAAACCTTTGTGTGCATTGGGATTGAGGTTTGCAGGGGTTTAATGGAGTCGCAGGATCCCGGTGAAGGTCTAAGTGGATGACTATGGTCTGCTTGCGCATTCCAAGATGCTAGCTTCAACAAGAGCGGTCTTTACTTCACGAGGATTTGTTGCATTATCCCAGCTGTTTTGTATTGTTTGGCTGAGGCTGGTTCTTTACATCTGCACCCTCATGGTTCAGACATTCTTTGCAACGGACCGGGCTTGATGAGCGCGAGTTGATGCTGCTTGTACATTAAGCTGCGCAACGCGTCCAGTCCGCTGTCTAGCATCAGGTTCACGGAGATCGGCCAGTTCATGTGCCATCCTGTATTTTCTTCATATGATTCATATGTCCTTGAATTCACTTGGAGGCCTCCTGCAGGTTAAGTCTTGAAAAGTGTCGCCTGAACGTGAGGAGTTTCACTTCAACGACCCAGACAATTTCGATTTTGTACGACCCTGACGTGATTGTGCCTGTCAGCGCTCTGGTCCACACATTTCCGAATCTTTCTTCGCTCAGGTGACCAACCCAGGTGAGTTTTGGTGTCCTGGTACTGAGAATGAGAAAGACCCAGCCTACCGGCAGGCTCGCGAGCTGCATCGAGACTCCTCTCAGCCATTGCCATTCCCTCCATCGCATCAGGACTGTATTCCTCGTGCTAATTTCGACACCTTTCTGTGGGCTTTGGCACCTTGGATTGCAAGAGTCAGAGAAGGATGCCTGATTGGACCGGGACTCGTTTCTCAGTCATCCCCAACCAGTGAGGGTCTCTTCGAGGAAGTCCACCCCTTCTGACATTCAGGTCACCATCTTTCAGATCATGACAGGCACGTGGTTCTGCTGATTCTGTGAACCTCGTTCGTGGTGGGACAGCACAAACCTAAGGTGAGAACTGGAATACGGTCATGTACGCAGGGATGCGTGCGGCAGGCCTGCAGTCGAAGTGAGTTTCAGTCTAGTACCATACGTGTAAATATGCACATGTAAACATAATTCAATACGAGAATATAAAAAGTACGTGTATGTCACCGTACCTCTGAGATGTTTTTTCGAGACCAGCTTTGTGAGGTCCCGGCTTCTGCCTTCTCTTTGTAGCCCTGGCATGATTGAGTGGGTCCAAAGGCATCTGAGTCCGTGACCGTGGCTCCTGCCTTTGAATTGTTCAAGCATGTAAGGCTTTGGTAGCCACGAGCGATGCACGAAATGATCCGTGAATCTTGCATGACAGGTGCTGCTGATCCTCTTCGGTCAGACGCTTTTCCTCAGCCCATCACTTGGTCTGACGATATCCACGAATTGAGAGCAGATGGGTAATTAGGGAGGGGGAGAATGTTGAGTTGGTGTGCAACTGCTCTTTTGCGCTCTTTGCCTGTCAGGTTTGTTCCTGTCCATGCTGATGTCGAAGTTTGACACCGTGCAGGACATTCGCGTCTGTGCTACACGGTTACGATCGGAAACATATGCTCATCATAATCGCTGCCCTGTTCGTGTTTTGGACAGCAAGGAATCCGTAAGTTTGGAGGTTCTTAATCGACATGCTGCCCGCCCGAAATTGTGCTTCAGAGCGCCACAAACCATAAAGATTATGTACTGCACGTGCTCTGAATGCCTCAGGACAGTCTGAACCAGCAGGAGGACATACGAAGAGAGCACACAGCCCCGCCACATTTTTGGGATGGTGGCTGATGCCTCCGGCTGTCTCATGTCATCTTCTAACCCTCTTGAACATATGACTGCACTGACTGCTGGATCAGGCTGAGTGGGGTGCAGTCTTGAATCCGGAATTTGCTCCTCCGCTCAATGTCTCTAGAGCTCGCGCACGCCTTTGGCAGCACAATGTGCGGCACTCTCGAAAGCAACACTTAAACTCAAGTCCTTACTTTAGCCTGAAAACATTTGAGATGTGTTGTCGTTGTCATGGCAGGCCCAGCGGCTGAGGAAAAAGTCGCTAGATTCGCTGGAAGCTTAAGAGCAGAGCAGCCGAGCGACCTCTTCCACATAGTTGCTGGATCGCCCGAGCCCGGTGAAAGGTGCTCCATAGAGTTTCCAGAGAGCTGGACCCTCAGAGGGCAGTAGATCCAGCACCTGCTCTGGGAGCTTCTGAGATTCTGGCGTATCTCTCCATTTCAATTCTTTGTGCAGTACGGTATCAGTAGCGGTCCTGACGGCAAAGATTTCGAACACAACGTGAGTGCCAGGCCCGAAGCCGAGCAGCCGCGTGCTGCACTCCGCCAAAAGCGTGGCAGAGAGCCTCTCTGGCTTCAAGCGCTCGCTCACCGAGAGGCACCCAAGGAACACACCCAGGACCATCCCACATATGCTGTTGAAGGCAGACAGCAAACTCAGCAAACTTCAACAAACTCCCGCCAGTTAGTTTCTGAAGTCCACGAAGAGGTCAGACCTCTGTTTCTCTGACAGCGAACATGTGTGAGACCGGTGCAGGGACACCTGGCCGGTCGGCTACGCGTGGCCAGACGCCTCAGTGGCATTCAGTCTCAGTCCTCGCAAGTCCTCGCAGCTTGTTGAGAGTCCAGGCACTTTACATGCACTTTATCCTTGTTTGGCGCCGCTTCTGTAGCCTGCTCTTCAGGTTCATCTTCTCCAAATCCAACCCCGTCAGACGGCTCTGCATCTGGATCCTGCACTTCCAGGCGCTTGGCCCTTGCGAGTGGGAAGGCCCTATTAAACTATTATATGCGACGCAGCATCCTCATGGTTCTTGTGGGTGTTGTTTGCCGTGTCAGTCAAAGGGGCCTGACTGCTGTGACAGCCGCAAGACGTACAGGACCGAACAAAAAAACAAAGGAGATGCCATAGGAAGGCAGAAATGATCCCCTCAAGATACACCTCCGATAAGATACACCAAAAAATCACGCCATGTGGAAGGGATTAGACATTGGTTTGGATGACATAAATGACCAGTCCTTCATGTTCGAGCCCAAATCTCAACCTCGAAGCCCCAAGTGCAGGCAGTCGCCAATGCAGGGTATTGTACCGGTCTCACGAATAGTAGAAACTACATCCCATGCATCCGCTTTCTAAGCTGTTGTCCGACCCATGCCATTCTGTCACATTGCTGGGTTCATTCTCGCACATGCGCCATAGAGTGGCCCCTCCTCTGGCAGGTCGAAGTTGGAGGCTGCAAAATCTTTCGGTTCCGAATCCCCAAGATCCGAGTGGCCTGGAACCAAGGTTCTTGTGATTCTTGTGATCAGAGAAATTCAGAAAAGATGCCAGAATCCTTTCTGACATGGTTGACGTGCGCCGGCAGCAGACATCGCATGAGGTTTTCGACAACTTCATCTTGTTGTGCATTCTGATTTCAACCGCGCTAGCCTGATTTTCATCGGCCTTCTTCAGGGTCGGAAAACTGAGGGAGTTTTTGTCTTCCATGTTCAAGCGCTTGGGTGGATTGGCTCGTGAGGTCACGATGGCCATGGACACGCCCCTGGCAGACCCAAACGAGTCGCTGACGATCTTCCTGCGCAGCGCCGACGAGGATCCATTCCCAGGTTCAAGTCGAGCCTTCACCCCGACCAAGTTGGATGTTTCGAGGTGTTCGCGATCATCTTCATATTTGAGATGGTTGTCAAGCTCCTTGCCATGGGCCTGATTTGGGGTGGGCTACCCAGTGGTCACCGTGCTCTCGAAGACTCTCTAGAGCCGGAGACGGCATATTTTCGTAGCGGCTTGTTACTAACTCCAGGTGAGGATGCATATTTGAAGAGTGCCTGGAACTGGCTTGATGGCATTGTGGTGATGGTGTCCATCATCAATATGGCTGCTTGTCCACAAAGGTGCAGTCGTCAGTAGCGGGCAGTAGCGGTTTCAACAGCATGAGCCGTTCACAGAAGTGCTCGTCTGTGCCTTGTGTCTCTTGGTGCTGAGGCAAGTTCTAGCTCCACAGGCTTCCTGAAGACACTGCGCATCTTACGTCCGCTGCTCGATCTACTGGTACAGTCTACTCAGCCCTGTCTCTGGCCGAAGAAATGTGAAGATTGAGCACAAGTTCAGATCCAGCTGCAGCAGGTGCTTTTCGGCCACTGCGTGTAATCTCGCGCAACGAGAACCTCAAAGTCGTGGCATGGATCCTGGTTTGCGCTATCGAAGAATCCGAATTGATAGAATCCCTGTTCTTCCAAGAGTCGTTTTGATGTCGTCCTCGCTGAATTGCGTGGTGGTATTGTTCTGACGACTGCGATGCGCGAGGTTGCGTTGGTTTGGGCTGAGGTGCAAACAATCTTCGCCTCCATGCCCAGCGCTTGACTGGATGCTCCCGGATGTTCCTTGCACAGCCGTCTGTAAGATTAGGTAAGCTTTACTGACCTACACGTGGCAGAGTTGCTCTCTAGGCCTCACCTGTTGACGCTGGTGATTGTGGCAATGCCAGATGCTGAGAATCTGCCGTTGCAGCTTGCTAGGCAGTTTCAACGGGTCATCCTTGATTGGGTATGGCCGAGGTTGTTCCTTCTCATCTTTGCTCTCTTTGCGCTTTCCTACCTGAATGGCCGAAAGCTTGGATGCTGCCGCAATGCTCGCTGAGAGATGGTGCCGGCTCCAAGGCACGTTTCTGATGTGCGACTTGGCGACCGAGCCGGGCCTGGCTAAGGAACTTGGCCAGGACCATGCAGACCCTGCAGTTGTCTTGCGCATTTCCTCGTCTGAGTTTGAGGTTCTTGTGCTTTGGAGGCTTCGGTCAGCCTGTGGACATCTGTGGACTAACTCGTCAAGATGTCAAATCCACCTTGTTGCTCGTGGTGGAACGTGAGTGTTGAAAACATGTTGTCTTCGGACATGTGGTCGAGGGCGCATTGTTTCCGCGGTTGAGAGTGCGCTGTTTGTCGTGGTCGAGGGTGCGCTGTTTCGGCTCCGCTGCATGTCCTTTTCGGCTCTGGCAGTTGGAGCGCAAGCGGTATAGGGTGCGCGTGTTTTCTTGTGTTGTGCATGTCGTGACCCAAAAAAGGAGATGCTGGTGAGAAACCCTGAACTTGGGTTGGAAGCCCTAAACCTTAAAAGGATTCTTGGTACGAAGCCCTGAACCCTAGAAGGAACCCTAAACCTTAATGCCCTTGACCGTTTACGTACTTAGTGGGGTCTTGGTGGGTATTGAGGCTTTTCATGATTCGCAGTTTCCGCTACAACCCCGGTCTCAGTTCTGTGCATCCGACAAGGACTTCACAACTCCACTTTGCCTTCCACCTGAGATGGATCAAGTGTCGGCCAGAACCTGAGTGAGCAAGATGGTCTTTGCGTGAACCAGCATGTCGTGAACAAGAATAGTGCCGGCTCGAACGATGGACGCTTTGCGTTGCGTTGCAGAGCCAGAAGGTATCGGGCGGCCTGACGCACGGCAAGTTCCAGCCAAGCACATCCGCTTGGGCAGTCTCCTCATCGGGTTGTGGAATGCCGTGCTTTTTTGTGTTTTCTCGTGCTCATCCGGCCCCGAGGTTGGCAACAACACCGCTTGCCCAGGTTCTCACTATGTCGTCCGAAGCCCTGTGGATAGGATTGTTACATTGTAAGCACGATGGATGAAGAACAGGTTGTAAGCAGTCTCCTTGCTGCTTTACCGGCACCACACTGATGCTGGTTCACGCGGTGCTCAGGAGTACCAGCGGATAGCAGCCGACACGCCTTGAGCACAGTGTAACCACAAGTGCTAACAAGTTTTCGGGCTCGCTCTGAGCGAGTGGCAGACTTAAACGCCATCATGTGTGCCGTTTTGTGCCAGTGCCTTCGAGGCCAATTTGCATTGGCCGCTGTCTTCCTGAAGGGTACTCTACGTCATTCCCTGAGTTGCAGGGGCTCTGTGTGGTCATCTCAAGCCCCAAGCTGGCAAAAGCTGCTGAGGTTCAGACAGCCGGAATGGCTCTGCCCAAAGGCCATCCGACGGCAACATTTTACTTGCATAGACTTCCCCTGGGTAGAGAGACCGAGAGAAACCATCTGCTGTCCTCCATGTCGTATAAGGCCCTGACAATGACGGAAGAGCTCCCAGCAGTTTGCGGGCCAGAAGTCAACAGGACTCAGGGGGAAGAGCTGGCAAAAGGGCACATGGTGGCACTTTGCGGCGCTTCGATCTTCTCGAGACAATCATGTGTGCATGGCAAGCCGAAGCTCTAAGAGTTTCCGTAGACTTGTCCAAGCAGTTTAGGCAGAAGGCCCCTGCAACAGGCCCCCCGTGACAGACGCAGCCCAAAACATTGTGACCTTCTGCATCTGCCGCTTTGCTTTGCTGGGACAGTGGGCAGGACAATTTCCGCTGCTGAGCTACGAGGCAAGCGCTTGTGGTTGCCTGGGAGAGCTTTTGCTCCTGTGCTTTCCGTGCTTTCCGTGAGGTATGTCGTATGTTGACCAGATGAGCTCAGCACCCGGCTTCCAGAATCGCATTCTGTGAAGTGCAGCATATATGTCCAGTCCAGAGATAGGGTAGCATGTGCGACATACACACACACAACATGGCTTATTGAGTTTCACTTGTGCTCAGCTCGATCGCTGGTTCTACCTTGCGGTGGCAGTACGGTGAACTCCACTGGCCACATGGTGCGCAAAGTGGAATGAAGTGGAACAGCTCTTACAACGTTTTCGCATAAAACTTTCACACATGCTGCAGAGAAGGGTTCCTTAGTTCCTCGTTCTGTTCGTTTCTTTCTTCAAAACGGTCTGAACACCTTTGGAGGTACTCACGGCCAAAGCCATGAGCTGCGCTGACCTCTTCTGTGGCGAGGCGCCTCTTCTTACATGACACACTGATCTCGAGGGTGGGATCAACGTTACGCTCGAAACTTGCTGCGATGTGATATGACGTGCTGTTCTACATTGAGCCTCAGTCTATGGCTATGCCTAGGCAATGCCTATGCCTTTGGTTCGAGTTGTTTAAAGCCTGCGGTGACATTGATTTGCTTGGAGGGAAAGAGGCTTGGGCAACGGCGTTCTAGACGGGGCTGGGACTCCAGACTGGATCTGGACCGAGGTGGATGAGGAAGTGAAGACGCAGTGCAAGAAGACGTGCAGACAGGCCATCTGGCACCCGCGAGTCAGCAGTGGAGCACAGACGTCCATCTCATATGTGCACGTGCGACAAATTCGGGCAGAGAGAAGCAGTTTATGGGTCGGTAATTTGCAAGACATGTGCCTGGATTGTTCACCAGCGTATGCAGTACTATCATGGACGGACCCTCGATTTGCTCATCTGACATGGAGCCAAAGTGTATGCAACAGCACGTGCCGCAAATCCCCCCATCATCATGTGTTCCGGCTTCAGGCTCCCTACTTCTGTGTGGACTCCTGTGGGCCTGGCCTAGAAGGAAGCTGTGGACCTGGTGAGGGGCATGCCATGCGAAGAAGCAGTCATACGTGTCATAGTGGTACACAATGGCATACTTGTGCCTGTAAGGTGCCCAATGCGAGTCTTGCCACTACGAGTGTGAGGCACAGTGCAGGCATGGTGCACAGTTGCAATCAGTTGCATTCATGGCGAAGGGCCCTGTCAGAGAATGCATGGCGGTGTAGCGCAGAGGTGTTTCACATGATGTTTTGTGCCAGGTGCCCGGAGTTCTGCGAGGGTCTGATCAGAGACGCGGCGCTTTGTCTGGAGCAGGGATCAAGGCCAGGGCGACGAGGGCGGCTCAGGCTTGCTAGAAAGGTGCTGGTGATTGTCAGGTGGGTGCCAACGATCAGCCAGAACTTCGATAACATTTGGTTTGCAATGCCAGGAGCTCAGGCATGCTCTTGCCTTTCGCAGCAGGTGTTCTGTATGCACGCTCAGGCTCACCCTCTTCGAGATTTCCACCACAGAGGGCTGGGTGGACGTGATGTACTCCGCCGCAGATTCTGTCCAGCCTTACGTAGCCGGGATGCAGTCATGGCAATTAGACCTAACCCTGTCCTTTCATCTTTTTGGTCTTATAGGACAAGTCCCTGACCATAAACGGCCCCCAAAAGGACTCTTATTTTTGGACATCCCTGTTCGGCTGCCATTTCCTGTCCACACAGGTGCAGCCCAAGAGAGACAATCAGGAGATGTTGGGAAGCCCGGTGTGTGCCCAGTGTCACAATGCAGAACTCTGAGGGCTGTTTAGGGCTTGCAGCACATGTGAGAGTCTCTGGCGCTGTCTGTGAGGCTGTGGGTTCCTTTCTTTATGCTGTACCTTTTCTTCAGCAATATGCCATATGCTCAGGGAAATGCCAAGAGGCATCTTGTTTCGTGAGTCCAAGCCAACTGGTTTAAGTCAGAAGGATAAAGTCAAGCAGCTTCTGCCCATCGGCTTCGCAGCTGCACATGTGATGAAGGTTCATCATTAACCTGAGCGTGGGTGTCATCGTGGACAAGTTCATGTCCATGAAGCAGTCCAACACGGCGGCGGGTGGCCCAGCTTTCAAGCTGCGAGCTCTGCGAGCTACGCAAGAAGAAGATATGAAGCAAGTGAGTTTAGCCTGTCTTGTGGCCGGGAAAGTGTACCTGGGCTTGTCGGTCCGCTGCAGGTGATGCTTACTGAGCCGCAGAAGAACTGGGTGAACTCCATCATGAGCCTTTACTCAAGGCAGCCTGTTGCGAAAGTCGGAGGGAAGCGGAAGCGAAGAGGAGATCACCTAAAGAGAAAGTTGCACCACCTTGAGCAGCCTTGCTGTATAGCTTTCCTGCTGAACGATGGGTTTGCCACTGGTGGAGCTAGGGTGTTCAACATAGATGTACTTCTAATCCGAGCACCTGTTTAATTTTAACGCTACGCGACCCGCCTCGGCCCGGCCCAGCGCATCCGCGTGAGCATGGTGATTCCGCAGCGCCCAAGTCGCTGGACCCCAAGCAATAAGGGTTGGGTTGAGGGTTGAGGGTTGAGGGTTCCGGGTTTATGGTTTATGGTTTGGGGCTTGGGGTTGAGGGTTAGTTTAGGGCTCAAGGTTCACGCTTTGGGGTTGAGGGTTTTTTTGAGGTTTAGGGTTCAGCTTGGAGTGATCGTAGGGTTGAGCCAGGCCCCTTTAAGGTTTAAGGCGACTCTTCGGCAGGGTGGGGGGGGAGGGGGAGGTGGGGTGGGGGAGGCGGGGTGGGGGGAGGGGGGGGGGGTGGGGAGAGGGGGGGGGGGAGAGGGGGGGTGGGGGGGGGGGGGGTGGGGGGGGGGGGTGGGGGGGGGGGGGGTGGGGGGGGTGGTAAACTCCGCCTTTCACAAACACCTTATGTGAGCAAGCGCCAAAACCCCCAGCCATTCAATTAAGCAAGGGGTGGACACGAATGCCCAAAACCCTGTAAAACGATGGGAACACTTGAAAAGCGACACCCCTAGGTTATGAACCATTGGGTGTGCTATAGCGACACCTACAAACATCAAGCCCCTCTTGTTGCGTCCATTAGCACCTTGAGCCCAGCCGCTCATGTGGCTTTTGGGGAGGGACAAAAGGGGGGATAGGGGGGGGGAGTAGGGGGGGGGTAGGGGGGTAGGGGGGGGGGGGGGGGTGGGGTGGGGGTGGGGGGGGGGGGGGGTGGGGGGTGGGGGGGTAGGGGAGGGGGTTCACCTAGGGGGGGTACCATTTGAGGCAAAAAAAGGGGTCCGAAAAAGGGCTTTGGGCCTGGGGGATTTGGAGGGGGGTGCCTGTTCTGACTACCTATACACCTTCGGCCCGAGGCCTCGGCGGATTGGGGGGGCGGCCCCGCCCCCCCCCAACCCCAATAAGAAAGGCAGGGTTCCGCAATAGTAAGACCATGGCCCTGTATTGATTCTCTATTAAACACAATAGGCCGCAGATCCCTGAGGTGCTGTAGCTTCGCAGCTCAGCAAGCAAAACAAGAAGCCTGCCGACAGATTTTGGAACCCCCCGAAAACAGTGTCTTTAAATGTGGTGGTATTGGCCCATACGAAATCCGCCGTAATGGAAAGTGGTCTTCCGGCGGCTTCTCGGCGAAAAAACATTCTTGAAATGTGGGGGTATGAATTAAACAGGTGCTCGGATTAGGTGGAACAAGTTTCAGCAGCAGCGTCTTCAGCTTCAGCAGTCCGATTGGCAGCACTTGTTTGCGCTCACGTGTGCAGGCGACAGATTGTCAACCTGATGTCCGCCCAGCCGGGTTAACGTCCCTGTACCTGTGGACCTTTTTGCAAGAGTAAATACCGCAAATGCCATCTTTCCTGATGTCAGGGACCTTCATGAAAAGAGGTGGCTGAGACGAAAATGTTACGAGCTGGCCTGGCTGGCCTGAATTCTGCGTTCCCGCAGCCTGTGTTCGGTTCAAGTTTACGTAACAGCTTAAGGCTTCGCGGCCCAATTTGATCAGTTTTGGGTTGAAGGGCTACTGAACATGCTGGTATCATGAAAGACCAAGGGTTGTTTGTGATTCGGGCGTCGAGCAAGTGAGGCTCATTCTGCCACACGGCCAGGTGTCAAGTGAATGCTTCGAGACAAGCATCATGGGGGCAATCGTGATCAACACGCTGTTCCTGGTGCCCGGCTTTGCGGGAATCAAAACAGAAGCGGACGAGAAACCACAGTATGCCAGGGTCAAATGATGTGATTCCCATGCCACTGCAGGCGGCAAAGATCACGCCAACCCCATTCCCAGAGTGGGAGATGTTTCTGGAGACGGTGAACTATGTGTGGATCATAGTATACTTCAAGTGTGTGGCGTCAAAGCCAGCAAGTCCTGTGTAGTCGTTCAATGCTCGAGCATTCTCGTGCTTCGTGCAATAAGCTGCCATTGTAGTCAGTATTGCATGCTGAGTTCTTTGCGGGGATTTTCACCGTCGAGTGCGTGCTCAAGCTTTTCGCCCTGCGGACCAACTACTGGGGTTCTTTGCTTAGAACTGCTCCACTTTGTATGAAGGTGCGGATGATGTGTATGGTACACCTGTCTCGCACTTAGGAGACCGCTGGAACTGCTTCGACTTTACCTGCGTTGCTGTGACCTCAAGACTTTGTCTGTGAAGCCCATGCCGTAAAAGTGTCCTGCGCATCGTACGCTTCCGTGAAACTTAGGGGCAAGCCTGTTGCTGCATTTTGCACATTTTGCCGGCTCTATCATCTCCATGCAGGTTGCCACCATCGTGGGCATTGTCGTCAGCAGGGCCTCCAATGCACTGGGCCTGGGAGCATTGTTCTCTATTTCGCCGAGGTGCAAGTGTCTACAGTGTCTACCCATCAATCGTAGAGCCTATCAACGGATTCATCCCGCTGCCTTCGGCTGAGTTCCCAAAGTCACAGGGCGAAGCGATAAGTTTCGGAGTCATGAGAGTCATGACTGCCCGGCGCGCCAATGGACTGGGCCCCGTGGTCCTCTTTGCAGCAGCGTGCTGGCTGTTGGACTCGTGGACGCCTGACAAGCTCCCTCGAGACCTGGCGCTGGTCGTTGCTGATGAGGTCTGGGTGTTGTCGGTTTTTGATGTGCCGTGGCAGTTCTGTGGCATGCTTTTGATGCTGTTCAAGAGGGTTGCCTGCAGGCGCCGGAAGAGGAGGGCGGCTTCTTCACAAAAGTCTTTGCCGCTGCTGCCCAGGGTTGCACCGCAGCGCTGGTGGCCGCGATCCTATCCGCCATGTGTGAGCCACTGGTGAACAGGTGGGGAAGGGAGGGACGACAGAATGGGCAAAGAATCGAGGAAACATGTCCATACAGCAGCATACAGCAGTTTTTCAAGGGTGTCATGCTTACACTTACTTGCCTTCTAAACCTACACAGCTGAATCCCTGAGGCTGCTGGTGAAGCGCATGACCGTAGCCCAGGCTTATAACGAAGTCACCTTGAGCCTGGTGGCCAACTTCTTCCTCACGACCTTTCCGACAAACATGCTTAAGTTCCCTGTCTTTGAGGCAGGACCGTCTGAAAAGCGTTTCTTTATCTTTGCATATCACAAGCGCGCCTTCTGCTTTGCAAGGTCATCAACAGAGCAATGATGTACACACCTTTCTCTGCCGGTGTTAGCGGTCTCATCAGTGGCTGGCTCTTCTGCACCATCATGCTGCCTGTGACAAACTACCGATTCCGCAAGAGCATGGGCTGGGAGATCAAGGCTTCCCTCCTGTACCAGGCCTGGCAGGGACCTGGGACAAGCTACAACTTCACAACAGTGCGAGAAGCAGTAGGCTTTCCTTCACGTGTGACTGCACTTAAAGACCCTCCGCAGGTCGCCACAGGAGCTTCTTCCTTAATAAGTGCCAAATGGGTTCGCAGCAGCCCATTTGAGCTCCTGAAAACACACAGAGAAGGCCTTGCTTAGGCCTTTTTTGCCCTCGCACCACAAAGTTTTTGGAGCAGCCCGCGGTCTGCGATTGCTCGTTCGTGCTGTGGTAGCGAGAGCACGGAGAAATCTTCATAGTTGTACGCCGCGCCGTGGTAGCTCGGGGGAGTGTTTTCTTGTATTTAGGTGGGAAAGACATGCCGCCACCTGCGGGCAAAGCGTTTGGGATGGACTGCTCCCCAAGGTGTGTGAGTCCTCAGCCGATGGACAGAATCACGACACCGAACGATAGCAGCCGACGAACAGTACTTGCATATCCGCAGGTTCAGGCGCTTTTCTAGCTGCCATAGTAGAACGATCCCAGAAAGGGTGGAACAGGCGGAGGCCAGGTTGGTACCAAGTCTCCCGGGCGGTTTTTGATGCTGGGGCATGTGGGTTCAATTGATGAGCAAGCTTGGGAGGTGCAGGCGGCGACTGTACCGGAATGTGGTTTCCGTAAGCTTTAAGCAAGCGTGGGGGGAGCGATTGCGCTGAGATGTGTAGGTGGGCGGGAAGGCTCATGCGGGCCAGAACGTGCGCCCCACTGACAAGCGCAAGAAGCACCTTTGCTCCTTCGCTTTTCATTTTCAGACCCACCGGCGGGCACCATTGACAGGCTTGGACAGACAGCATCTGAATCTGGTTGCAAGTAGGCAACCACTCGACCGTCTTTCAACTTGTGTTGGGTTGCATGTTAAGGGACGCGGTTGGGATGGTCGATGTGGTGGTGGTTTGGGCTCTGTTGTGCTTGCCTTGCTTTGTCGAACATTGTGAATCTTGATCCCACAGTCTGAAAGTCACCGAGACTTCGAGGGTTGCGAGTGATGGTGCGCAGCCCTTCTCCTTGGGTCTTTTACAGCATCAGACCGCCATACCATGTACAGCATCCCTCTGACTGCGGGTGAATGCTCTGCACTCCGAAGCTGGGCGAACCCAAAAAAACCATTTGATTGGAGCCTGCTGCTGTTCATGGCATATGTGCTAGTAGAAGAGAAGGTTGCTAGCATCCAGAAATCCCAACGCTGCAGGCCTATGTCCCAACGGTGGCCCGTGACATTATCTATGGCTGGGCGCGTGGTCTGGCCGGCCCCTGGATCCAGGACGCAATCGCGCCAACCACCTTCACGCATAAGGCCATGGTGTTTGGGCTTACCATTTGGGCCTCCTGCATCATCTCGTCTCCTTGCAATGAGTGGCGCGGCTACACTTTGCAACCTCCAGACAAGAAGCTCCCATTCAACATCTACTTCAAGCCGATCAACTACGCACGCTCCACAGGCATCGGCTCCAGCATCATGGGTGTGGCTTTGTGCTTCGGGATGTTGGTGACCCCGTATGCAGAGGAAGCCTTTGCATACATGAAAGAGCACGTCGCCGTTGCTATGGGTGCAGTTGCTGTTCTTATCATCGTGATTGTGGCTCTTTCCAAGTGATCCTAAGCCTCGGGCGTGAGCCGCCCCAAGCGTGAGCTTCTGGCTTTTCAGGCAACACTAACTAGATGAGGGAGATCCGGATACTCGGAGAGCTGCAGCCAGGCGGCTTTGATTCCAGTGGTGTCGAGCGATTTTCCGGAAACCCGGTGCATGGGCTTGTGCCCGAACAAAAAGGAAAGAAATGCCTCGGAGTGACTTAGTTGTTGTTTGGGCGGCTGATCAGACAGTCTCCACCGGCCGTTAAGGTCAGGATCGACCCCATCATCCAGGTCATCCGGATTTTCCGCATTGTGGGGCGCCTGAGCCATTGGACCAGTTCTTGCGAAGCTTGTCAACGCTTCCGTGTCGCATGCGCATGTCTGCTACCAGAATGTAGGAACATGTGTCGTACGTTGCTTGCAAGCTTGTTGCTTCAGGCGAGACTGTTCCGTCTCCTGCGTTTCTTGAAGGGCTTGTGCACCTTGCTGGCTTACATCACGGGGTATCGCGGGCGTCTGCCACTGTTGCTTTCTGGCATTCTAGCCTTGTATGGCGCCAGGAACAAGATCTTCATGGCATTGCTCATGTCCTTGCCAAAGCACCTTGGCTTGCCTTGGGTCCCACATGATGAAATGAGACTCGAAGCTGCATGCTAGGCTCATGAACGTCCTGCTCATCCTGCTGCTGTTACTGATCCTGTACAGTCTGCTCCTGAGCTTGCTTGAAACGCGCTGACCGTGCCACGAGTCTGCTCTTCTCTCCTAAACCGTTCTTAACCCTCTGTATGATTGCAGAGAAGCTCTTGCAAAGAGGAAGGAAGAGGTCTGCGATGAAAGTGCGTGCGCGAAAAAAAAGAGAGAGGCATCCTGGGAGTCAGCCTCTTCTCGACGACCAAGCTTGGGGAGACTCTGAACGTTCACGCGCCAGCCTGGCTCGCCTTTGTTGGGCTTTCGAGTCATATCAGCAGCACTATACAGCACCTTCCCGGCTGCACCATCACGATTTTGGCAAGGTAGTGCAGCAGTATGTAGCAGTGAGAAGTCTGATTTCGGAGGATTCCGCAGGAGGCTTGTTGGCCACTATGATTCGAAGTGCAGGAACTTCCAGAACTTCGTCTTGGCCTTCATCACTCTTTTCCGAGCCTCTACCGGGGAGGCATGCGGATCAGCATAGAGACGCATCAAACCACATCATAGCGCATCCAGAAGTCCTTGGCACCTTGCTACATGTGCTACATGTGCTACAGCACTGCAACAGCTGTTTGAATGCCAGAGGGCCAGGCAGGCAAGCGAGGTCACGTGCAGACAAACTGGCTTTTGTCGCACCAACTGACCCAAGTAAACATGGCCAGTTGTGCTTCGTCTTCTCACCACTCAGAACTCATTTTTCTGCAGGCCTGGAATGAGATCATGCACGAGCTGGCAACATCCGAGGCTCGTGTAACAGTTTCTTGCAGCCGGAGCAATGACATGCGCTGCATCAAGCAGCGCTGCTGGCATAAGCTACAGCATCAAGATACAGGCTGTCGACATGTTGCCGAGATGGCTTTTTCTTGACTAACCTGCCCGCCAGCATGTGCACCTCAAGCAAGGCAAGGGGAAGTGTTCGAGAATGGAGTTAACATGGAGTCCTGAAGGCTGCGCACAGGACGGCACTCTCCTGGCTGGTGCGGATGCATCTCGGTTCTTCTCAGTGGGTATCCCGAGTCTGGGATCGCCCGAGCCGAAGGTAGCTGGAGGCTTTGATGCATTCCTCCAGGAAAATCCTCACTTAGAGTCGCAAGCATACAATGAGATCAAGAAATGCGCCAGCTGTGGAAAGCCTTGTGCGACCACAATGGAGATTTGCAACGCATGCGGCGCATCGTTGAAAGACGTTGCGATCACCAAGAGTCCCAATCTGTTTATTGGCTTCATCTATGGCGTGGACAAGGCAAACTTCCCCCTCAAGATCTCGATGAGACATGAAACGGAAGACATCATGGTGTTCGATGATCCTCTGGCCATCACTCGGGCACATGTCCTGGCAGTACCTACGAATGTGCCTTCTTGCAGTGCATGCACGATCTTTTTTTCAGATGTCACGTGTATCTGTCAGTGATAGTTCAATGATGTAGTGTGTGCTACTATACATGTATGTTTTGTAGGTGCCCTAGTATGCGAGGTGTACTGTCCAGACATCCGGTCGCTCTTCTCTGACCCGCAGAGCGCAATCGACTTGCTGACCAAAATGGAGGCGTCTGCGTGGAAGGCCTTGGAGCAGGGCCTCTCGGCACCTTTACTTTAAGACCTTGTTCAAGCCCACACGTTTCTGGTCTGTGGCTGGCATGATCTCCTTGAGTTGAAGTGTGAAGACAAGCTGCGACCAACATCCCATGCTTGAAGGCCTGACAACACACACACAGTGCAAAATTAAAACGCAGTGTATTAGTCACAGTCAGCACAAAGCCCCAATTTTCAATGTGAGCAAGCACTTGCATGTGCAACGACTTTCAAGTTGTAAGGCCCATTGGCCTCAGATGACTGGCGGAAACAGGCACTCGGGTAGCAAGACAGACTAAACCTTTGAATCTTGGGAAGTGGTGCGGTCCTCTGATTGTCTGGTTGTGAGAATGCGAAGACATTGCAGTTCTGGCGCAAGTGACGGACACCTACAATGCTCTTAAAACTTCTTCTAGTGTTACAGACATTCCTTTCGGAGGCGTTGTCAGCCGCCGGCAACAGTCTCCCCGTGGCCGAGTTGCGCTGCTTGGAGCAGATCACCCGAGATTTTTTCGACCGCCTCAACTCTGTTGTGGCTGTAGCTACGCAAGTATGAAAGCTACAAGGACTGTGAGACAACATGCTTTTGTAACTCTTGAGGGTAGGGACCGATGTCGTGCACGATGCACGTTGCTCACTTTCCATACTCGAGGAATCTTGAAGTGTTTCGAAGGTGTGAGTTGCGCGCAGCATCAGCACCTAATTCGTTCTGCCCTAAGGTCAGCATGTCTTGATGGCGTTCAACCTGCCGCCGTCGCAGCGCATTTGCCGGCAATGGCTGTAGGCGGTTACCGGTAGGAGTTTGGGCTTTGCAGTCTCTGCGCCTGCACCTCGCAAACGTGTACAGTAGCTCAGTAGCTTCCCAAGAACAGACCTGCAAGCGTTTACAGGTTTAAGTTGCGCATTCTTAAGCTGCGCTGCAACGATTCCCCATCTGTCTGGACTTAAGGTATCAGCTGCACCTTCAGTACATGCTTTTGCCGCTCTTGCCGTCCCACCTGGGAGTGTACAGGCCAGAACAGATTGTAAGCATGAGCTGACGGCCGAGCATGATTGAAATGAACAGAACGTCTGCCAGGAAAGGTGGCCACTTCCTGAAGCTTCGCCATTTTCCGCTGGCCTACGTACTTGCAGCCTTGAAGGCGCTGGTCGAGGTCGGTGAGTCCCTCGATGCCACCAAGATGACGCCCAAGGTGCCGCTGGCGATGGGAGAATGTTTGAGAGTTCTGAGTATGGGATATGAGTGTCATATGAGAGTATTGGTAGTTCTGAGACAGTGCTGTGATCGTAGTGCTCCAGGAGCTGGTAGAACGCATCTCCAAGCTTGGCGTGGACTATGACGAAGCTCATGCAAAGGACATGGCACGGCTGGAGAAGAGCAACGCGCTCCTGGCAAACTTTGACCCAGCAGATTTCTCCTACGGAGTTACGGCTGGCGCGGTAGTGCACAAGACCACAGGTGCCAAGTTGGAAGATGTGCCCTCGGCAAAGGACTTAGATGGGGCAGACAAGGCTGCACTGCAGGGCTATGGCCGGCCCTACGTTGATGGCAAGCCAGGCAGGGCGTGTCAGGGTCGGCAAGGAGAATGTGACAGTCTCTCAACATGTGGCATGTGTAATGCAGTTGTCATGCATGTGCCAGGTGGCGTGTACTATCGCTTCCCTCGCCCTCCACAACCTTTGCCACTGTTGGGAGTTTCGACAGCGTGCTGCTCCACCAGCGCCGGTGGATGCACAGCGGCTTGATTCAAGCCGCAGTTCCAGCCAACGGCGCCTTGCAGCGTGTGCTCAGCACAGAAGCAGCGCTGTGAAAACGGTCAGCGCGCGCGAAAAGAAAGCCTGCATATAGGAGCGGCCGAGTCGATCAAACTAAGTGCTCTGCGATACTGCACGGCCAATGGTGTCCCCCGCGGGGTAGTGTCCTTGTGAACTGCATGAATATTAGTTCATACGAGTCGCCTGAAATAGCCTGAATGCCTCTAGAATGAGGAGCGGCATGTATCAACGTCCCACAGGAATCTTTTCGTCATGTTGCGAAGGTGGACTTGTACAAACAGGGTGAGTGGTGTTCTCCTGTGGAGCTGTTCGACACGGAGGCCAAATATGAGGCAGCATCCGTCTGCTCGTCGGTGGGCCTTGCATCCTGTGTATCTTGTATGCCACGTTGTAGGTGTACAGGCGTTTCGCATTCTACAGGCAGGCACTGCCATAACATTCACGAAGTTTCTCGAGGTGCTCAGGGACAAGTGCCTCATCGAGCACCCAAACAGCTGTGCCAAGCGCTTATGTCAAACTGAGCTGCGTGATTCTAGCAGGCTGAATGTTCTGATCCAGGCACAAAGTCCGTACTTCTCCTTCTGCTTCTGGGTGCGCCGGCTGGTCAGAAGACGTTACTTGTGAGCTTGGTCGGGGCAGGATAGGAGCTAGAAGTTTTCCAGGGCAAGTCTGCGTTGTTTTTGGAAGCCTGCATTTTGAATTTGACTACTCTTGCGGCTCTCGCGTCAGCATCACTTTCGGGATCTTGTTCCTTTGAGTTGTCAGGTGACATACACCCTGCTGATCACCATGATGGTCGTGGTCTGAACGTCTTTGCAGCTCATGGAGCCGTAGTGAGCCGATAGTGTAAAAGATGTGAAAAGCGCAGCACGGAGGTCATGAACCTGGTGATTGCGGTGATTCTGGAAGGCTACGAGGCAGGGACATGCGAAGACCTTTCTCGATTCCCGTCGATTCCTGTGACATCCCGAAAGCCAGCACACGAAACCCTAACATAGCAGAACATAGCCACAAACGCGGACGCCATCCGGAGTACCGGTTCCTTTAGGGGCAGCAGGCAATCTGTTCGTTCACTGGAACTTTGTTCCAGGACGGCAAGGAGAGCCCGGCCTCGGAAGTGGTTGACGTCTGCGTAAAGGCAAGGCCGCCACAGTTTGGGAAAAGTCTGCGCCCCTGCGGGCCTCTGGGGGGCCCCTGTGGGCCGCTATGAGCCCTCTGTTTGAGTTACATGTTCTTGGCTGCCAGTTGTGGCTCAAACATGACCCGGACCACCGACTGCGCGCACCTGAGAGCGAAAATGACAAGGGAGCGCTTTCATGTTTCAAACCTTGTCGCCGCGACTGTGTGCCGGCTCTTGACAGCACGATCGCTGCACAGCATGTTCAGGTCGCTTCCGCTGGGAGAAGCTCTCAGCTTCATCAATAAGGCTGGAGTTGTGGTTCTTTCGGATGCCTACAATGTCGTCTGGCCTCAGACGTTTTGTCAGGCTCTCAGAGAAGTGGAAGGGTGTGCAACTTAAAGACCAGGACAGCTGTAGGTTGATTGGCGTGCAGGCAACGGCATCAAACAAGACCAACAGCTTGTCATGTGGCACTCTGCAACCTGCAGTACTGCCAATTGAGGCACCACTATGCGCCCGCATCCAAAAGCGAGCGCCCAGGCTCTTCAGGTCAGCCTCAAAACTCAAAACTGAAAGCAACTCTTGTGCACGTGTTACAGATTGAGATGGACATGGCAGGCTCTGGGGCAACTGGTTTTCATGTGCTGCAGTCGTTGCCGATGAAGTACGTGGCGGCGCTCGATGTCCAGGCAGCATTCGGCAACAGCGGGATAGAGCGACCTGCTCAAGATTCTGTGCTGCAGGGTCGCCCTAGCAAAACTACTCACGATACTGCATCTATTTGCGTCCCCAAATCTGGGCTGTGTGATTCAAGACAGACTTCTCAGAATGTCGTTCACAGCCGTAGTGACATGAATGACACGTGTCGGCTGTCGCCGCTTGGAGGTCGGCGAGAATGGTCGCGTCCACTTTATTTCGGCATGCAAGCAGGCACTGGATGTTGCTCTCCGCAGTTTGTTCATGGATAGGCAAGGAGCAGTGAGCACCGTGACGCGCATGCTCAGGATTGGCTGTGGATGAATCCCGTAGTTAAATTACGTTCGCACGATTATTGCAGACGTGTACTCGTCTGCGCGTGTTTTTACCAGGTCATGCGTTTTGTCTGTCTTGGGGATGACCTGGCACGAGCCTCGGGCACGGTCTGCTGTGAAGAGGTTTCCATGGTCTGCCACGGTTGGCCCACTTCGATGCCCTGGCTAGCCACAGTCGGGACAGACGCATAAGCTCGTGCTGACTGGGGATCCTCCCTGCAGGCAAGTCTCGAGGACCTGGACACGGTTGAGGACGGTATGAAAAGCGTGCGCAGTTCGAAATTCTAGCCAAGTCTAGGTTTTGCTGAATGCGCGTGACATCAACAAAGTGGTTGGCAGGACCCTGTTTAGGTCATGTCCTTGTTGCTTCACTCAAAGTCTTAACACACTACACATCGCTTTCGTTCCCGGTTGTTTTGTACAGTAGTAAGATAAATCAAAAAAAATGCAAAGTGCATGTGCGCTGCTGCACATGCCATAAGTCCATGTGATCGTCTCCTGCGAACCGTTGCACCACTGCTGGTATCATATGCACAGCTTATTCCCTGGGGAGGGACTCGCGGAAAGGCTCCTTCAGCCTGCCCAGATCAACACAAGACCATGATGACCATGCTCAGGGTATCAGTTTGCTGTCGTAGGAACACATGGACAAGAAGCAAAGAGAGAAGCTCCGGAGGTGGAGCTGCAGTAGTTTGCGTTTGGGTCACGGATCACATGCTACTTGGAAAGCTCAGTTCATGTAGCACACTGGGCAGCAGCTTGAAAGGTGTTGCTCTGCTCAGTATTTGTGCGTTCGTACATTTTGCGAACCGTGCAGAGAATGATTGCTAGCATGCAGATATGCCGCACACGCTTTTAGCTTGGGCCAGGCTGATCGAGAAAAGTGAGCTCCGCATCCACAGCAAGATTGCGTGCCAGCCCCACTCACCTCTCAGATCGTATGCCAAGCAGCATGGTGGTATTCAAAAGTTCTGCTCCCTTCAGCTTTCCCTCTAGCTAAATTCCTCAACCGTGGGTGTCGGGCTCAGGAAAGACTGCCTCTCCGAAGGGCTGAGCTTTGCAGGCAGTGGCGCGCCCAGGGGTTTTCGGAATGTGCTGAGCACTCCCGAGAGTTGCGACTCCCAGGTGGCCCAAAGCCTGGCAAGGGTGCAAAGGTCCCAATGAAGGATCTGAAGCAGGAGGCAATGAGCACTTTTCAAAGCTGTGAGGTTGCCCCAAAGCTTTCAGAATCGTTAAAACGCAGCACGGTCTGGAGCAGGTGGCCGCTTTAAAGCTTCAGACTGCCCGCGCCCCTGACGTGCTGAAGAGCAGCTGTTTTAGGAGATGTCGCTTCACTGTTCTGGACCTGGAAGCCGCTCCTGAGGCCTTTAAGGGAATTCTGAGAGGCAAGAGCAGTTCCAATGTGGAAAAGGACAAGGCCAAGAAGAAGGAGACGGCTGCTGCATGCTGCTGCTGTGTTTGGCTGAGTTTGCCAGCCATTCACGTCTGAGGACGGCGCATCGCCCTCCACAGGAGCCGATTCGAAGGACGCAGTTCTGGCTCTCTACGGTAGCAACAAAGATGTGTAGCAATGTGCAATGGCTGTGTTCTTTAGGAGGCAGCGCAGAAGCCGGAAGATAGGCCTTGGCCCTGTTTTTGGCTGCTCTGGTTTGCCATGTCGCGTGCGAAAGTGGCCGGATGTCGCCGGATTTTGCGCCATCTCTCTCTGCGGAAGTGTGCTGGGAGGCGTACTTCGGGGGGTTCGTTGAAGGCTTGCAGTTCTCCAGTTCTCCTGACTACATCACACCTTCAGCTTGGGGGGGCGGAAGCCTTGCACATTGCCCCTCATTGCCCTCGCGTTCTCCAATCCCTCGATGGGGCCATCCTCAGGCTGCAGCATGACGCAACAAGCGAATTGTCGAGTGACGTTGCTCCCAAAATCAGTTGGGCCACGCATTTTCGGCCCTGCCTTTTTGCCCTCCCCCAGAAATTCCCAAGGTTCGTGTTTCCAGGCCTGATGTCACACAGCATGAGCACTTGCATTCTGCAACAGCGGCTCTCTGCAGTGTGCTTATGCCGTCATCCCCACAATTCAACCTCAATCTACCCAACCTTGAAAATGCGAAAGGGAACATCAGGCATACCGAAGCGTCATACTCATCAGCAACTAGACTTACTAGAGTACTTGTCATCGCCTTCAGCAACTTGACTACTCTGTGGTCCGCTAGTATGTGTGGGCTTGCATTCTCTTGTCATCATGGCAAGGCCTGTGGATGGCGATGGCGGCCTGGGTCAGGCACGTAAGGGGAGTCGAGCTGGGAGCTGTGACTGAGGGTTGAACATGGGTTGAACGATGTTGAGCGTCGCGAGCTACAGGGTGACATGTTTGCGAGACATCCAGTCTATACAGCATGTCGTGGAGTCGTCCCTCTTGTGCGCCGAAAGCCGCAAGCTGGAAACCCCAACGTTGCTTCGTGGAGGCGTAGAGCAGCTGACGGGATCCTGTGACCTTTTTGATGAAAACGAGAAGAGAATACACAGAATGGAAGAATATGGGAGAGTCATGGAGAGGCAGTGAACAGCTTTTGCAGCCAGGATGCCCACGGGCCCTTCTGCGGTGCGCCTTTGGAGCAGGACCCGGCAAACCTGGGCAAACCCGGGCATACCCGGGCAAATCCAGCAGAGCACTGTAAGACTATAAACAGGAGCGCCTGTGCCAGTTGTTCGACCTTTGCAAGGATCCGATGCCCAGAGCAGACCCTCCGAAAGCCCCTTAGGCGCCACATAGTGGAGTGCTGCTTTTTCTTTGTCAGTTCAAGCTTGTGTATATGTCCGCAGGTGGCAGGAAGAGAGTTTCGACAAGGTGGTATACCATGATAAAGCATTGTTGGCATCAAGCTGTCACATCCATGAGTGAATTTTGTATGCATGGCTTCTGAGACCACATTTTGGTGAAGCTACCGTCCTCCTGTTAGTAAGAACGTGTTCTCCTCTCGTTCTAGAATTCCTGTTTTCGAGTTCTCGTTCAGATTAAAACCCGAGTCACGCACGAATATGAATGCTTCAGAGAGTTCATGGCAGGAGGCCCCGAAATGATCCGAAATGATTGACGCTTTCAATGCTTTCAATTCAACTCTCGCAGGGGTCGGTTCCTGGGCGCAGTTCACCTGCACCCTACGTGGTTGCAAGACCAGACGTGCTGCATCAAGTACTTTGCAGTCTTAATCCGCTTCTTTGCACCGCGGCTCGCGCATCTCTACCTTTGTCGCGAACACACAAAAGAAATGGTCATACGTCTCAGAGGGATTGCGAAACGGTGAAGAATCGTTCGGGCTGTCAGGGTTTAAAGTGGGCAAACAAGTTTCATGGGGAGGCAGTGACCAAGACAAGCACGCAACAAAGTGATAAAGAACTACAGAATGACATGCAGAAAAAACAAAAACAATGAATGAGGAACTACAGTAAGAAAGAAGGAAATTCAGACACAGAGAAGGAAATATGAAATACACTAGCAATACGCAGCATAAACAAATAATGAAAGACAGAATTAAGTAAGGACAAAAGGAGCGGAAGAATTCAGCAAACATTGAAAGACATAACGGAAGACATAAAGAAAGGGAAATATAGGAATGAAGACAAACAGAAATTAAGACATGTCCCTGCCGCTCCTTCAAGTACCATCCGACAATTCGGGGTTTTGCAGGGGGACGCGCAGATCGATGCAGGCCTTGTCGGATCAACCGTATTATGGTATTATGCCGCTGGGTGAATAATTGTCATGTTAGGCGGCGCAAATGTTGCCTGACACAGTCTTGATACACCAACAAGCAGTGCCTGTAGTGAAGCGGGTTGGGTGGAGGGGAATCGCCGTTCTAGAAGCCAAACGGCCATAGGCCAGAGGCCAGATGCTGCTAAGTAGTCTGCTTCCCGGAACTCTTGCAAGGCCAAGTCGACAGTCGTGAACATTTCGTGAAATAGAGAGGCCAACAGAAGGATTTGGCGCATGATTGATAGAGAATGCGTCATTCTGTTTGTTGTTGAATCCTTCTTTGCTGGCGTCGTGAACGTGGGCAACCATGGCTTCGCGCCAAGTCCCACAATGCTCCCCCACTTGTGGCCGAGAGTCCTACCCAGTCATCTAGACACACCAACCATTCTTGCAGCTGTTTCCCGCATAGGGGAATGCACGAATTCAAGTGTTTCACTGGTTTCAGAATTATCTTTCCGGGTGCTGGAGGCTTTCCAATGCCTGAAAACAGTCTTCGCGCATCTCAGTCCATCTTCGCACCCAGAAGTCTTTTATCCATGCAAGAGTGCGCAGGTCCTGTGCCACGTCCGGTAGTACATGTAGAATTCAGAAATAAATAGTTTTGTTTTTTTTCTGTGTGCATGCACTACGACCATGAGGCAGTACTATGGCTTGTGAGAATGAGCTTCTTAGAAGACTCGTCCACCAGCCTTTCCGTTTGCGGACTTGCAGAGCAAGTACCCAGAAGTTTTTTCTTACTCGAGCGGAGACCGAGCAGTGCAAAAGCTGCTTGTCTCACGGGTCTCCCAAGCTCGAGTTGGCAGCATGCCAGTGTAGCAGAATGTGACAGACGTATGTTTGGTACGATCCCATCATGAAGCTAGTACATGATGTATGCTCCGTAATGGTATGGTTCTATAGCGTCGGTCTTGCGAAGGTCAGATGCTTGATGGGGAGATCCTTTGTGTCAGAAATCAAAGCGTGACCGGATGGACGTTGTGCAGAGTCGGGAATTCCAGCCTTGCCGTTGACTGATGGTTGAGTGCGCTGCTGCAGGTTTTTCTGTGCGGTTGGTCCTGGCTCAGTGTGCATGGAGTCTGCAAGTTGCACTGCGCGTTTCGTTGCTCGCGGCTTGTGTGGAGTCTCAGCCCAGATCAGGGTCCAACGGGGTCGGAAGCGGGCATGAAGGGGATCACAAAGGCGCGGCTCGTGTTGACCGGTCTCAGCCGTAAACTGTGGTCTTTCGTAAGTCTGCTATGGTCTATCGGTATGCAGCTTTGTTTAGCAGTACTCCTTGCGTCTGGAGCCAGAACGTCCTTGTAAAGGCCCAGAATGCTTTCTCGATGGCGCGGCCTCTCTACTCCGTCGCGGGCCTATTCTGCCTCCAGTCGTCAGCAAGGGCTCGGAGCTTCCGCAAGTGGTGTGCGCCCCTGTCTCCCTGTCTTTTAATGACAGAAAGGCATGGAGCTGTTTGAGTGCAGCCCAGGTGTGCTGCGTGCGCTACAAGGAGATCCAGGTGCAAAAGGGACTTGACTCATTGACACATAGCCTATTCAAACCTCTTTAGCTCAGTTCCCCCTGAGATCCAAGTGGTTTTGACATGCTTTTTCGAGCTGCTTTTGGATCTTTTTTCCTTTGTCCGAGGAGGAGATGCCAGGCACAGTCTCTGGTCCTCAGCTGCTGGGCTTCGCAGAGCCATCGGGAGGCTGGCGTTCTTCCGCTTGTTCGGTTCGGGGGCTATTTTGGGTTGGTGTATGTTGGAGTGACAAGGCTTTCGATTGCAGAGCTTCATGGCGCAATGACTCCTCACGGCAACAAGAGGTAACGTGAGAGCTTCTGCCAGGCCCGTACTACATTCTGGCCTTGATGCTGGATGTCAACAGTCTCTGGTACAGCTGGCTTCCTTCAGACTTGTTGATGCTGTGTCGAGCTCCCAAATCGAGCGGCGGCAAGTCACGTCGAGAACAACAGAAACTGTCTTCGGATTCGGGCCTGTTAGGAGTGTTCGAAGCTCTAGAGAGCCGTGCCTTAAGCAATCTCTACATCTGTGGTGTACGCTGCGCTTCTCACCAAGGTCCTCATTAACTATCACACTGCAGGGATCACATGGGTCTCCACGAACCCGACGCCCATGTTCATACACGAAGTCACGCAATAGGATGGTGACACCTTGCACAGGACAGAATCAGAGAAAGGGCGAGATCTTTCTGGCCGGAATGTTGTGGGAATCCGTAGCAGAACGAACACCGGGCTCGGTAGATTCTACAACTACATTTTGGCTGAATTACTGGGGTTAAGGTTTTTTTGCCCAGAAGGGCTTTCTCCCCTCGACCCAGAACCACGCCTCGAACCTGCACGCTTGTTTAATTTTGCCGGGTCGATGCCCTGACAGTTGCATGGATGCTACGTGCCGATTGCCGGGCGCTGAGCTGCAGAAACTCTCCCTCACGCTTCGCCCCGCTTGTGAGGATTGAGTCTTCTTTGATGGGTTCGCAAGAACCTGTAACCTACAGCATCTTGAGGGACCTACAATCGAGAGGACACTATCAAAAGAAGTGTTGCATTCCTGAAGTATTGCGTTTTTGGCGCCGTGGCCAGTTCGTTTCTTTTTTTTTTGGGTACGCGGCTTCGCACTTCTCGTTCTCATCGCTGCTGCGGGCTGGGCATGTGAAATTAAGCGCTTCAGCGACCCGTACATACACGTACTGTTGCACGGAATCAGAACATGAGGAATTTGTAGCAGTCTTGTGAGGAACGCTCTTCTTTCTGTACGAGTGTATGTAAAAGCATGATCACGGGGCTCGTATTGGAGTGCGCCTATGAAGTTCACATGATGACATCCATGGAGTAGGCGAACCGCTGAGCGGTGATTTGGTATAACCTGTGTGCTTGCCATGTCTACAGCAAGCCTGGCATGTTTGCTCGCTGCCATTTCCTGCAAGGCCATACCCTTGAACATGACACAACATATATTAGAAGAAACCACGAATCATGCAAGGTGCAGCGGTGATAGATGTGTGGGTGTGTGCGTGTATGGTGCAAGGTGACTGTAAGGGGTCAGAGGACTGCGGCCCAGAAGGTCCCATGGGAAGTCATTTGCTTGGCCTAGGCCTGAAAGCTGCAAAACCGAGCGCAAGGCAAACGGCAGTTAGACTCTCTGAAAGACGTTGCCATGCCCTCCAGCGGCCAGACGTCTCCGGAAACTCCAGAAGGCCGGACGTCATCTCTTCCACCTTCGGAGACCAGTTGGTTCAGATGTGATTTTCTTCGCTAGACATGCCGAGTTGACCCGTCCCAGGGCCGGACCGCTTAAGCGAGCTCCTTGGACCTGCAGAGAGGGCCCAAACATGATTCTGATTCATAGCCCCTTTTACGACTGAACTCGTAAGGTTCTGACTTTTTTCGCTGAAAGGAGAAGAGGCCCCCCCAAGTCAGGAACATCTTATTCAAGTACTCTTGGGGCTTCTCAAGTCTAGGCAGTGTATAGAGACACGGGGACAAGCACAGAACATGTGACTTGCAATCCTTTCTTCTGTGTGATAGCCTATGTACTAGAGGATATGCTCCTCAGCAGTTCAAGAGGCTTAAACCCTAAACCCCCTTCGGGCAGAATGGGTACTGCGGTATATTTGTGGGTCTTGTACGGTCAATATTCGAGGCAACTTCGCAAGTAATGGAACTTCGCAAGTAATGGAAGATAATAAATCTGGCAAGTCTGTCCTAGCCAGAGCCTACGAGAAGGTTTGCCACCAGCTTCACAACTCACCAACATGTTATGGTGGCTGAACAAAGGCCAACCAGGGTGCTCTGTCCAACACGAGGTGACTAGCTGGTGCGTAGTCAGGGACCATGGACCTGCACGAAGACCTCAGCCTCACTAGATTCACTCGATGACCGAGAAAGAACAGATGCCGAAGAAGGCTAGGAGACTCAGGACTTGCCGTGTGCGTGGCGCATAGAATATGGCACCTGGCCCAAACTTGCCCCCAAACTGGCAGAGGGTGTGGAGTGACCAGCTTAGGGTGTGTCTGGGGCATTACGGCGTTGCCACGTGCATCTACTGCTTCGAAAGATTGTCACGGGCCGAGGTCTGATGCACAGCAGAAGCAAGCTGAAATCTCGTGTTTGAGGCTTGCTTTCTTCAGTCGTCCGCCTGCCGTTAGTGACCTGAATGTACAGCGTACTCAGTGTACTCTGACATGACGTCAACCCTCTTCAAATCGCGTCATATTGCGGAAGTGTCCGCTGCAAAGGGTTGGAGTCGGAGTTGTTACGCAAGGCGAATTGCGAATGTGTTTAGTGCAGTACTTAAGGGTGAGTTCGCGTGGCGCTTGACAGTTGCAAATTCGTTCAATTCAGAGCTTCAGCACCCGGCAGGCGCTTCTTGTGCTGGGCTGGCTTCTGTGTCCCAGCTGCTTGGTGCACAAAGTTCTGAGTTACACTCTCTGCACTGCCAGAGCGTGGACCTGTCAATGGCTGTAGGGATGGCTGTAGTGGACTGCAGGTGTGCGGTGAGATCTACGTCCATGCCGGACAGGGGTTCAGCAGATCTGAAATCTTACGAGAGGATGATCTACTACCTCCTGAGCTGGCAGGGCCCTCAATCTCATCAGTGTTCAGAGCTGCTCAAAGCTGCCCAGAGTACACACTTCGGGCTGCTGACCAGCGAAGGACGGCTTCCTCACATTTGCGGAGCTCATCTGCCGTGTTTGTCTGGCACAGGCGTGACATTTCCTGCAAGCGCAGTAAACGGTTATCCAAGGCCCAAGATGTAGGTGGAAGCCCCCGAGCAACTTTCGAGCGTCTCAAGTCCCAACCTGTGTCCGGGACATGCCGGGCCATGGTATTGACGAATGCCTGCCGCTTTATAGATAGAGCCGTGCTGACGCAGCATGGCAGGAACGGCAGTGGATTGTCCTCAAATGCATCGAGCATGTATTTTTTTAAATCATCCAGCCTTCCCAAGTTTTTTAGGAACGCAAGGCGAAAGCTCTGATCGGCCATTTGGCCAGCTATTCGACCCGCTTGCCACCCGCGCTTAGACTAAGCAATTGTCAGTCCACGTGCCACGGGCGTGTAAGGGAGGTGCATTTAAAAGTGCTGGAGTGTGGTCGCATGTGGTGGTTGCAGATGACCCCATCTGCGCATCGTTCACAGGCGAGAAAGCTATCACGCAACTCAGAGTCGACGCCCTTAAGCTGGAGCCCCATAATTTCCGCAGGCCGCCCTTGCACCCCAACAGGGTCTGCCTGGGTTGCAGTTGAAGTCCGAGCTTCGGGCGGGTTTTGCCGGTGCATGCGCTTGCAACATCGACGGCAGAATCGACTCAATGGTGGAGCAGCGGGCGCAAAGAATGGCAAAGACCTGTGATCTCCTGGGCGTTCTTGATGCATGTCGAATGTACGTCGAATGTAAGTCAATCGCAACACACTGCCTGGTGCAAAGAAGAGAACATAACGCACATGTGAGTGGACGAGCTCGGCATTCACCTGTGAATTGCAAACTTGTAGCCCTGCAACACCAGAAGACCCTGCCAGAGTTTGGGCTTTAGGGCTGTGGACGTGGGGGTTGAGTTTTCTGAGGGTGGCTTTCAGATCCGCACGACAGTTTCCTGAGAAATTCGTAGGAGAGTCGCCAGATGCCAGATCACGGATACCTGTCGTGCTTGGGTGCCTCTGGCCTATCACAATCGCGAATCCAGTCGGTGCCGACGTTCGGTTGGGCTCACGAACATCCAAGACAGTAGTTTTAACCCGAAGCAGTCTTCACAAGCACAACACCATTGACTGATGCGGGTAGATCTGCACCTCTCGGTGGGATGGTTTGCACAGGTGCTCATGCTGATGGTCTGGCAATTTGGACGAGCTCTGGTGCATAACAAGGTGCAGAGCCAACTTGCAAGCAGCAGGCGTGCAAACAAGATCTTGTCCGGAGTCTGCAATTGCAGCATCAACAGAGTGAATGCGAAGTTCTCTCAAGCCATAGACATCAGGTCGCCGTAGAGTTCATGGCAGCTGTGCTTGGCAAGGTGCGCCAGTTCCTGAGCATCGGCCTTCAGGACTCTGCGCCATCGCGCTGGATGCCTGCCATGGCGCTCGCGATATTTACGTGGCCTGACCAATCTTTTTGCTTGTGCCTGCGAGCTGTGCCTGGCTTTCTGCTCCACTGTTGCACCGAAACCTTCGATCTACATAAGCAGAAATACATCGTAAGTGTTCACACCATTCGAGGTGGACTGCAGGCTCAGCAGACAAGTTACTGTACTAGTTCTTCAAGTTCGTGCAAGACAAGCTCAGGTTCATCATCGGTGTTTGGGGCTGCCGTGTCGGGGACGAGGGCCTTCCCACGTGGGCGCTCCGCTACAGCCAAGCTCCAAGGCATTGTCTTGGCATGATTCCTGCATACTTCAAGCTGGAGCGGCAGAAAGTGATCTAGAAATGTACGCAGGCGACTGTAGGGCTGTAGGGCGAGAATCCGAGAGCAACCAAAGAGTAGAGCAATCTTGAGGTCATGTGTGCGACATCTTCTGCCACGCGATTGTGGCATCAGCGCTCATGGGCCTAGGAGCCTTGAATTTTGAGAGCTTGCCTGCCAGAACTACGAGAATCTATAATTCGGTCGTTGAGAACATGATTGCAGAGGCCCTAGTAGACCCCGGTAATGGAGCAAATCGCTGGTGCTTGAGGCTGCAAAAAAAAAACAGGTGAGCTCTGATTAGTGACGGCTCACCTGAGCCTGGCAAACTGCGAGTCTTTTGTGGGCCGTAGTAAGCCTGCAGCAACTTGCTTTTCCTAACAAGACTACTGAAGAGTCGGTGGGTGTAAGAGTTAGGAACACGTCACCAAGCCTGGTACATTGCTTCGACTCCATTTTGAATCTCGTTTGAGGATTTGATGTTGCGCTGGCAGCACGAGAGGCGAGAAGTGATTTTGGTGGTGTTAGCGGATGTAGGGCGGGTTCCACAACTTGTAGAGTTGACTGATGCGGACTAGTAATCTCTTGCCGTGTGCAGTGGCGCAGGGGTTGCTCTGGAAGTTCTTCAAGCAATTTGTGTCCTGCTGCGTGCTCAGTTGAAGCTCAGCTACGGCTGAGTATCAGTTTGAAAAGTGAGAGGGCAGTGAGGAGATCCTTCCACTTGCAGTTCGGGTTGCTGTGTTTCAGAAGATGTAAAAGGCATCTGACTCAGGGCAACTCAGGGGCAACGTCTTGGACCCCTTGCACCCCTGAGGTCAGGACACAGTGGAAGCCCATGGCGTTTCGGGCCGCGAGGGTGAGACAGAGTTTGGCCGCCCCAGCTTGCACTGAGTACCACTGTCGAAGGTTGAATTTAGCAAGAAAAACTCGCATGGATGAGCAGCACTGTATCGTTCAACTTTGACATTGCAGAAATGGGCGTCCTGACCATGACATCACAGGCCATTTCTTGAGCTACTCCTTCCACAGCACGCCGTCCGCTGCAGAAACCCACGCTGGTTGTAGAAGTCTTTGCGACGCTCTGAGGATTTGCGGCCTGGACAGAAATCTTGTGAACGTTTGCTGTGGAAGCCAAAAGCTCCTGTGCAGCTCTGTTGCAGCAACAGCACCTGATGCGATGAGATGTGATGAGGCTTTATGTGGGCGTCGTTTATTTTCATGCTGTGGGCCTATACGCTCTCCGCGTACTGTCCAGACCTTGTGCCGCAGCTGCAAGTTTAACCAGGTGGACGTTTGCCGAGGTACCTCTAGCCAGTGATGGACGTCTTGTGATGAATCGGCTCCTCTTCCTTTTGGCGAGTTCGTCGCCCTGTCTGTTGCGGAGCACACATGCGCGCTCGTGGCTTGTCGTCGGTTGAGAGGCGTTTCAAGAGTTGGTTGTCGATGTGGATGTGCAGAGGTCAGAGGTGCTATGATGGTGATGTTCATGATGATGATGATGATGATGACGATGACGATGACGATGATGATGATGATGATGATGATGATGATGATGATGATGATGATGATGATGTGCCATATGTGCCGGCCCCCCTGTGAACTTCAAGTTGCCCGGAGTGCGCTGCATATCACCGCAGCGCTGCAACGTGTGCTGAACCACCGGGACAGAGTGCACCCCGTGGCTTTCTTCAGCTTCAGACACAGCCTGCCGGGACCAATCACCCCTACCCACGTGAGGCTTTTTTGCTTGGAATGGTTTCCCTACTTGTTCCTCCGGATGCAGATGGATGTTGCAATGCACGCCTAATCCACCTTTTTTCTACGGTGTACACTGTGGCCGGCAGCCCTCTCTCAAAATTGTAGCGCACGCGTATACTCATTGGGACCTTTTGTGAGGTGTACAAAAGGCCTTGGCCGATGTGAGTGCGCGTGAGACCGCGCTTCGACGCGACGCACAGCCGTCGTCAGCCGTCCAAGGAAAGTTCGACATGTTGTGGACTTGAGACGGAGTCAGGATGTTTACAGTACACTTCGCTTTACTGCCTTGCACGCCCTTCAGGCACCTGCCTGGATTGGCATTCTAGTGGACTTTGTGGGCAGAGACTTGGTGAAGATTTTGAGGCCTTGCAGTAGCAGCATTGCACGATCCCTGAAGACCGACTTCTGACGAGAACCGATAATTAGAGGCTTTAGAGAGAAGCTTTGTTGAACAATCGCAGTTGCCGCTGAGGATTCTGTTGGGCTGGAATCAGCTTCTGGCTCATGTCCTCCGCTCTTGGCATACGGGGTGACTTGGAGATGAACTTCAAGCTTTTGAGAGTTGCATGCCTGTGGGAAATGGGAAACCAGCACTTGCGCCTGAGTCCTTGGCCGGGTGCGAACTGTTTTCAGTTTACAGCGAATACAGCAGGGGTGATCTTGCGACTCCTTCTGCCGCGCAGATATCGCGGGATGCCGTCGGGACAGTGAGCAGAGCCTGGCGCAGTGTCGGGGCCCAACACATTGTCAACACACAACATCACGACTGAAGCACTTGACAGCCGCATGTATGAATCGGAGCAAGGTCAAAGTGATGGTGTTGCCAGTGCCCAGCTCCAAGCAGGCATCGCTGGTCAACCGGTGCCCCGTTTGATGCATTTGATGTGTACTTCATGACTCGATCTGAATGGCGAAGCAGCAGTTGCTTGCGGTCTATGACTTCTGCTTTCTCTTGACCGACACGTTTCAATCTCCTGCCAGGGCCAGGCAAGGCCACACGAAAGATACGATTACAGTCTTGCAAATCATGGATGTGACGGCCAACAGCGAAACACGCGGTTTGTTTTGCAGGACTCTGTTAGGGCTCAGGGGTGGACACACATAAGGCCGCGAGAACAGTGTATGATGGGGCGAGCCCCATCAAGGGGTTGGCCCTAGATGTTGAGAAGCGATTTTGCGGCTAGCTTCTTCCTTGCCAAAGCCCGAAAGCTTCATGACTCGGCCGCTGCGTCTTAGGGTGCACCCCTTGATCACGGGACTCGCGCATCCGAGCTGAGGTTGCTGCCGCCGGTGGCCGACCGCTGCTTACGGCCACTGAGGCAACTTCTGACAAGTTCTAAGTGGGTCGGAGTTCGTGCTGGTCTTAATGACCTGCGCTTACCAAGCTCCGCCCACCTGCACGTGGGCCCACACCCGCATGGACACCCACACACCCACCCCTGCTTTCCGTACCGTCTCTTTCGGAACGTTCTGTTCGATTCTGTCAGGGCGCCGTCCGCACAGTCAGCAGTGACAGGGCGCCGGCCTGTGGGCAAGCCCAGGTCGTGTGGCCCAGTTTTTCAGTTTGCGAGCGATCTTGCGCCGTCAGTTTGTTCCCTGATTTCTTTCCTTTTCTTCGTGCCCAGGTCTGAAGCAGTTGCCCCTCTGAGTCGAGTTGCTGCTTGTACAGCTTGTGCAGCTACCTCAGAGGCCATGGAACAGCCTCGATGCCCTTTGAAACGATATTACTTTGGGTGGTGCCTGTTTGAGCCTGCCCGATACTCTACAACGATTGCTGAATGTCCTTGCCCCTTCATTGAAGGCTGCATGGGCGGCTTTTTGAGTGCTTGGCCCATGTTCAGTATTTGTTGCAGGACAAGGCAGCCGTTTGGTAAGCTTGTAAGACACAAGCGGTCACAAGCGGTGGGCCGTTGAGGACCTGTTTGACATGCGCAGTCTGGATTACATCTGACGGCGCTTTACTCCAGTGTGTTTGGCCCTTTGCTGGCCTAGAGGGGTGAGTTGAATACTTGTACAGCCTTGTGACAGTCGCACGCGCTTGCCAGCCTGAATTTTCCTTGCCGTGGTGGTGTACCTACATACTTGGTCGCGGCAAATCAAGCCAAGTAGGTGTGAGCGTAATCCGTCGCCTTGTAACTGGCAATGATGCAAGTCACACCGCCGCGCCATGACTTGCAACACGGGACTTCGACCTTATGACCTTGTCGAGACATTGTGCTGTAGCCGTTGGTGGCTATTCGTCCGCCGACATGCGCCGCCGGAAAGCACAACCGTCGTGAAGTAGCACGGTGGATGTGCACTCCGCTTCATGCAAAAAGCTCCTGCCGCTTCTGGCGCTTGTGTCGCACAAAGTTAACCTCTTCGCTTGTGTTAAAAAAAGGGGGGGCGCTTCTTGCAGTAAGGCTCCGGCAGCTGAGCCGGGCGACCATGGGCCCATGGCGTGAACTGGGCGCCTCCGTGTGGAGCTCGACTTCGGATGACTTCGGAGATTCCAAGATCATTGCAAAAGGATAGGCTCGCAATGTCATTTTGCATGTCGTGGGCGTATTGGCTTGTGGCCGCCAGCTTTTGGAGATGAGGCCTACCATGGTATGGAGCTGGAGCGAGACGGCACCTTCGATCAACCAGCCAGGGCCCTGAGACGCCCAGCTTCGCAGTGTAAAGTATCGCGGCGAGTACACGAGCAAGCCCAGTTCATGCTGCGTCGTATGTCGTACGTAAACGAAAACCCATGCATGTTGTTTGTTCCAACATTCTTCTCATCATTGCCATAGGTTCTGATAGACTGGGAGCGTGAGGTGCCAGATGCGATAGATGATGAGGGCAAGATCACACTCTGGGATACGGTTGCATGGCATGTAGCATCTTTTGTGAATGGTAGCACCATGACAAATTAACAGAATTACAAATACCTGCGCGCGACTGGCCCAAGCCACGGGACGTGCACGTCGGCGATCCACGCGGTGCACCTCGGAGTTTCCAATCTGCACGGCTGGGCTGCAGAAACGGAAAGCGTGGTCGAAAAAAGAATGCCGGAGAGCAGCTGACCATAGTCCCGAAACCTTGAGAACCCGCTGAGTAAGTGAGCTTGGGAGACGTATGCGCTTGTTTGCAGGACCCTGAAGCCTGTTTGCCGTGATTAGCAGCAGCGACTTGCAGCGTCAGCAGGCTGTGCAAAACCTCCGTCTGCTTATTGCCGACTGAAGCTTGGGTCGGGTGCTTGTGGGCGGAAGCTTGGGTAGGGTTGTGGGAGCTGTGCCGGCCCGGACACGGAGGCCCACCTGCCCTTGTGGCCACAAGGTTTTAGGTGGATTCCGCGGCCCTCACTCCCACGGCCTCAAATCAGCTCGCCCAAGCTCAACAAGAGAGGGGGGGAGGGCGCAGTGGAAGGAGACCATTTCTTGGTCAGGCTAGCATCGGTGCTACAGTAGCATTTTGCCGCTAGAAGCCTGGATGAGCAGGTTGGCCGTGCAGGCTGCATAAGGTTAAGGTTCATCCCCAGTTTTGCAGCCATGGAGCGAGGTGCAGTCAACAGTCCAAGCATCACAAGCTGGGGTTTGTTTGCAAGAATTTGTGAGCTGTGACTGAGATGCGTTAAGGGTATTGCGTCAAAGAAGAGAGCAGGAGCCTGGCGACAGCCAAAGCACGACCAGGCACGGAGGAAGTGGTTGTGGGCGTGCTTCGAAGGACTTCGGCTCCACTAGGCTCCACGCTTTATTCGTTCAAGTCCTTGCTGGACGTATAGCCATCTTCTTTCTTTGGTTCTTTGAGTATTGTGGTTGACCATGGTTGTCGGAGCTTAGTCTATTCCTCATTATGCCTCCTCAACATAATGGCTTGCACCCGGCAAGTGAGGCGAAAATGTGCTGTTGTAGAAGAAGGCTGCACATACGACAGCCAATAAGTTGGTAATACGACAGGATAAGTTGATGCCAATCAACGAAAACAAGATGCTTCATAATGTGCTGAAGGGCGAAGTCTTTGACCATAGCAGCAAAGTGTAGTGTATTGAGCCGTGTCCAAACAGTTCATGTCCTGGTCAGGAACAAATTAACGCGGGTGGACTGGAAGGGGCGTTTCCAGCACTTTAAGCTTAATGCCGGATCCCAAGTTTCTTCTTCTTTGCCGCTGTGCTGAACGGTGGGCGTCACCAAGCTTCTGAGGACCGACGTCTTTAGTCAAACGGATTTCGAGTAACTGGGAGCTTACACGTCTCATGATCCCTCCGCTGCCGCTAAGATACCCACCTTTTGCAAGCCTTTCGGTGGTCGTGAGATCACTTGCGTGGCGCATCCGGACGAGGCCATCTGAGAAGGGTACATTGTTCAAGCCTGCGATAGGTTCGATACCTGGCGCAGGTGGCGTACCTAAGGTGTCGCCTTTGCACGGATGTGGTGCGCGCCAGCACGCAAGGAGTCTACCTGGAGGCGCGGAGCACATGCGAAGCCTCGAGGGCCTGACTGCACATGACTGCACATTGACATGACTGCACGATGAAGGATCATTGCACGGTGACACAGGTGGAGGTCGCCACGAACCCCGACAACCTGAGCATGGCGGTGGTGGACTTCGAGGCCTCACCGGCAAGAGTTGAACCCATGTTGAACCCATGTTGAATTCGCCATTCGATCCTTCCTGAGGGAAGACCCTCACGTCCTCACCCCTTTTCTTTCCAGGCAGGCGGCTGCAGCAGTGTGACCTTTAGCGGGGTCCCTGTGGCCCGAAGCAGTGCTAGCGACTGCTGTGGTAGAGCTGTCTGGAAAACCAGCTGTCAAATTGATTTTTACCTTCTGAGCTTTGGGCTCAGGTCCGGACACCGGCGCGGTGATTCGAGAGCGGAAGGTGCGTGAAGCCCCGAGGAAGGCCTGAGCATGCGGCAACGCGTGGCAACGTGGGAACACCTCAAACGGAAAGCAATGAGGGAGTCCACTTTTTTATCGGCCTGCCCGATCATTGCAACAGGGGACGGCAGCAATGAACAAGCATGGCTAGCATTGTCCCTAAAATGAGCGACTCTCTAAGACATTAAGATTCTCAAAGCATCCTCCAAAAGAATACAACAACACAACGACATGCCTCGGTCGCAGGTTGAGGGTGCGTACATTCAGCCCTTGCCCACTGCTGGGGCCACGGATGGTTACCCCACACTAGCGCACATACACAGGCACACACAGGCACACGAAGGCACACGAAGGCGCACACACACACACACATAAGCACGCAAGCTTCTCAGGTGACAACAGGCCGCCCGTTTCATGGGCTGATGGGCCTCTCCCTCAGCATCTCTCAGCTCAGCTCAGATGGGCTGTGTATTGTCCCTTATTGTCCCTGTCTTCCGTAGCTGGTCCTGGAGGTCTGTACTTGTGCAAGGACAGACTGGCCTTCTTCAGGAGGCATGTTTGGTGTCTCCAGTTTTATGTTCTCGTGGTGTCATGCGTTCCAGCATTTCGCAGTGGCTTGTCTCTTTGCTTGTTGACTTGTCTGTAATGACTGCAGTGGTCGCCTTGCAACGAAGCGGCAAAGAGTTCGCTCATTGGGGCAGGTGTGAAGTGCCAGTCGAAGGCGGATCGGCAACATCAGCGGGTCAGAGTAGAGTGAGTAGAGGTAGAGTGCGTAGCCCTGCGCTGTCATCGCTTTTTCAGAAGCCGATCGATACGTCAAAGCAGTAGTTTTTGAAACTGCATGTGCAGGCGGTGGTTCGACGTCGGCCTTGACCTCATTCAGCCAAACCCCATAGACGGAACAGCGTGCCTGCCCTTTACAGATTTTGTCCCTGTGCATGAAAGATTGCATATGACTTCATCTGCAGTCTCGCCTCAGGGGACGGCAGGTGGGAGGCAGGACCTGTTGCCAGCACAGTGCCAGAGAGCTGCGCTAGCCTAGGGCCTGACGGGACCTGCTCTCTCCTTAAGCTAAAGGGGCGCAAGCACCCAAACGCATTGAACCACCTCGCTTCATGGAAGGCATTTCCAGAGCAGAAAAGTACTGATGCAGTGTGAGAGCGTCTTTGAATTTCCTCAAGCATGTGAAGGTTCTTCCCGCCTCTCCGTGGCCGACCGGAACCAGGCCAAAGCCAACAAATGCAGTTGGACAGGGGCCTGCAGAGTAGATTCAGAGCAGATTTGAAGCTTTTTCTGTGAGCCTTCGGAATGCCCACAAATGCTTCACGGCCCTGCAGACCAAACCGAGATGGGACCGTGGGAGACCACGGGTTTTGTCTCCGACTTGGACTGGGCTGAGGTTGGCATGGAAGTTGAAGATTGGAGAGCTATGTTAAAGCTGAAGTTGAAGTGAAGTGAGTCGTGGCAGTGTGTCAACAAAAGCGCTCTGAAGGCGATGTGCTGAGGCTCTGATGTGACAACCCCCCCCCCGCCTGCCAGGGCCGTCGCCTTACTCCGTGCCTCGCCTTCCGCGATGAGGGTGCCTACCGCGCAGCCTGGCAACAGCAAGAAAGAGAAGTTCAATTCCCCCGGGTTACCACAATAATATAGAAGGGTGAATTCTTAAGGTTCTTTGACACCAGTGGTTGGATGGTCTTCTGCACTGATTCAGCTCGTCGGTGACAGCTTCTCTCACCAGTGATCTCACCAGCGAGTGGGCGGGCTGCAATCTCAGGTCCGAATTGTGAGAATTGGCGTGGTTCTCATCTGACGTTCTGAATGGCTTCTGTGTTGATGTCTGCTTCTGACAATCGGTGCCAGATGTGCCTGACATAAATTTCCATAAGGTGCAACGCCACCGATTGACGTACAGAGTGCTCCGTGCTCAGAAGCATCCCCGCTGCAGGGTTTCAGATGGATGTCTCTCTTAGCTTCCGAGGCCTCGCAGTCTGGCTCCAAGATTCGTGAACAGGACCGGGGATCATCGCAAGCTGGATGCCTTGACCCGGACGCGCCTGATGTCACCTGATGTCACCTGCTCAGCCGAGTGCATCCGCCATCAACGTCTAAGGGGACTGCTTTTGCTTGGCGGGCCCCTTTTGCTGTGGCTCTCGAAATGTGATGAAAGGTGCGGCGCTGTTGGAAGCGGCATGGAGAGAGGCCATGTAAGCTCAATGAGTTCCATCGAGAGGACTGGAGAACCAGCTGGAGCGGCTTCGACTGGGAGGCCTTTATGGATTGGTTGCGCATGCTTGAATGTGAAGATGGCTTTAGGAGCTTGTAAAGAAGGCAGCTGCAGTAAAGAAGCAAAGAAGCGCATAACAAAGGCGAGGCCGAGACAGGAAGTCCTGCAGCACTGGCTGAGGTCGGCTCGACAGAGCATGCAGCGCCAACGTCCACTTAAGGGACGCTGCGAAGCGGTGCGCCGCTGCTCTGCTTTTGCGTTGTTGGCCTGGACTGAGGCCATGAGGCTACATGATGTCAACGATGTCGTTAGATAGGAAGTTGCACTGGCTTCAGCACCCACTCTTCGTTGTGCTGTCTTGTACTGGGGCCTTGGTCGAGCATGTCGAGCTTTCGCTGCATCTGCCGGTGCAGGCTCAGAGTTTAGTTCCTCCAAGAGTTCAGACATGTGGAGGGAGTTACATAAAAGGCGCAGTTGAGGCATCTTTGTACATAACCCATTGCAGCCCCACAGTGTGAAACATGGCGAGACTTGCGGCGCTAGTCTCAGTTTTTGCGGACTGCTTTTTTGGGCAATCTCACGGACATGGGACGGAGAGCAGGCAGTTGGCGTCTGTGGGACCAAGGTGCTGACGTTCTGCCTCTTTGCAGGTGCTTCTGCCCATTCGGTGGAAGGTTGGGCGTCTGGAATGTGTCAGAGAATGTCACGGGCACTGAGCTCACTGAGAGCAGAATCGCTACACATCACTGTGGAAAGGTTCGAATGGAGAGCGAATGCGTGGCAGCCGAAGACTCTGGGACATCGCGGCGCGGGATGCTTGGCTGCCATTGGCTGCAGCTTGTGGCACCGGCAGCTTCCTGAAACCATGGCTTCACTTGCATCCCTGCTGTGCTTCTTGTGTTTGAGTGGCTGCTTGACTGCTTGCTCGGCATGCTTGACTCATGGTCTTCTATCAGAGCTTGGCCTGTAGTTGGTACACGGTTGGAGTCGAACGGGGAATTGTGGAATTCCATGAGCAAGATCAAGCACGAAACTCTTGATGATGTCTTGTGATACCTCTGTGCACTGCGCAACTGAAGTGTCAGATTCGCCTGACGTTCTAGAAGCAAACCTTGCTTGACTTTTCGTCTTTTTCGTTTGTTTTGGCTCGCTTGGCTTTGGTTTTCATGGGGTTCCTGTTCCAGGAAGGAAGAAGCGAAGGAGCGCTTCCCACTATGAGTTTTCTCATGGAAGGGTTTGAAGGAAGGAAAGAAGGATTTACCAATGCCAAGCCATGTGCGAGTGTTTCTGTTGATGGCTGGCTGCGCCCATGTCGGCCGGAGGCCGAAGCGAACACCCCCACTATTTCTGTAAGCTGTTCTAGTTCATGGTTAAGAATATTGCTGTCATCACTATTACTGCACTGTTGCTTGGGCGATAGCTCCGCCTAGAACAATAGCACCGAATGCTACATGGGCCAGTTCTCGAAGGAGTCACCTTTTCCAGCTTGTTGTTCACACCTAGTGACGAACCACTTTCTACCTTTGATTGTTATTATTACCTCTATTGCCACTGTTGATGGACGAAGCCTTGCATCACTTTTCTTATGGAGGTAATCCCTTCTAAAGGCGCTTCACTCACACTCTAGAGGGGTGCGAGAGCTGGATTCCTGACAATAGGCGATAGACAATAGCATACTTGTCATGTAGGGGTTCATGCAAGATTTTGAGTATCCACTATGCTACAACAACAGCAACAACAACAGTCCCGCCCCCCTCTCTCGCAAAGAGTAAGTAAGTTCGTCTGCCCTAGGAGAAACATATCTGGGGCCGATGCGATCGCTGGGATGCCAAGGTGGGTGGTTTTGATTGCGTTATGGGTCAGAATCTGCACCAAATGCAAGAATTGGTATTGTTCCGAAGGTCAGTGGTTGCGAGCTGAACTCTGAGTACAAGTGCAGCGAGCTTGCAGCATTAAAGGTCATAACTTGAGCTTGCTGGGAGCCTCGCAACAGTGAGCTTCCAATTCAGGTGACCGCGTCTCTGCAGGCCCTGAACAGCTGCTTGGCAATCATTAGTCAGCCGGTTGCCCAACATTCCTACTCATCACGGCGCTTGTCGCTTGTCATGTCATGTGTCTCGTTTTGCAAGAAGTTGTACGCTAGACACGGCACATGCAGAGCTCCTCCCGGCAATCAGGTATGACCTGGAGATTGAACTGGGAAACCTGACCCCGTCCACACCCGAGAATCCTGTCCATTTGGCATGGTGGGCCCTGACCTCGGAAATCTCTTGTCGCGCAGGAGCAATCCAAGTACACGTTGTGACAGCTGAAAAATCGCATGCCCAATCAGCACACGCGCAAGGCTCCGCAGAAATCCCAGACGGCTTGGAACCCGCATGACAACCTTGAAGGCCATTGCCCACACTCTTCTCCTGTGCAGCTCTGATCCTGAGGGACATGGAGTGCTTGCTCGTTGCAGCTGGGGCAGGCTGTGCCGTGTACCGCGACATGAACATTGCGTACCCAAACTTCACCGAGCCGCACTTCAACGGCGGCAACTTGGTGGTCGGGCCACGGGATGCCCTGGGGTGCAGCATGGTGCCGAATGTGTTAAGTGCGTTAGGGCCAAAACATCATGTCGTGGAGGTGAGTGAGGATGGCAGAGTGACCATCCGCGTGCAGCGCCCGAGCTCAATGGAACGCGGGTCATGTGCCAGCACAATCTTGAGAAGCAACATTCGACAGCTATGCTTCTTCTGCAGCCGTTGAACAGGAATCCTGCCACGTACTTTGTGACGCACTGGATCTCTGTACCACACATCCACCTCCGCCTCTGCAGTAATGCTTCGGCCTTACTTGCCTAGGAGAAGGACAGGTTGAACTTTGAGGCTCTGCCTGGGCCCATCTGAGATTCTGAGGACACCTTTGCCCACACTACACAAGATGCCATCATCTTCGTAAAGAATGGAGCCGAACTCGTTGCCGGCCAGGCCTGGGATACGGGGACGGCGGGCTTTCTTTGAGGATGATCTTGAGGTGTTTGAAGTGTTGTGAAGTTCCCAGGCCGGGTCGACGCTTCAGATCCTGAGCGTCAAGAACCATACCTGGACCGAGCAGCCCGGAAGCGGACAGGTGAGCATTGGACTCAGCCTTCAGATGCCTTTCGGGCCCGCTGAGTTCTCGCTGAGCTCCCGCTGTTCGGGCAGACGGTTCTGGGAATGCCCAGTGCGGAGAAACATAGAGACATAGAGTGATGTCTTCCGAAATCTAGAAGAAAGTGACAGTGCAGCCTTGCGTTGGGTTGGAGCTTCATCAGCCTTTGGAAAGCTTAAGAAGATGCCGAAGATCTGACTTCCTGAGGTGACCCGGGCATCGCTGGCATCCTGGTCTGGAGAAGGGCATCCGCCCCATTGCAAAGTGGATCAGTGTATCTCATCGTCTAACTCTTGATTCTCTTAGACTCTTCGACATTTGCCCACGCGCTCCCACGACTCAGGGGGCCACGACCACCACCCTGGCGCCGGGCCAGATCCAACAGTTCATTGAGGACACAATGGAGCGGATGAACTTGGCCTCCTGGCATCAAGGTTTTGTGTAAACTTTTGAGATCTCTTTTGCTTGTCTTACCGTCTCAGCTTTTGGGGAGGGGGGGGCATCATTGAAGTCCCAGTAAGGATGCCTTGGAGTTTTCACCTATCTATCAGTGCTTCGAGAATGGCCAGCTCTACGATCACTTCATTGCCGACTGTTCCTGGCATTTCCTGGGCATGTGCTTGGAGTAGGCACAGATTGGCAGAGCGACCGTCAGAAACAACAGCATCGGCCATTCAGCCTAGGCGCTAGTAGCTGCGGACCGGGTGCAGAGGTAGCGCATGGCCAGTGCTCCTCAGCTCAAGAAGAGTCCGGATCTGGCAAGTCGCACAGTCTGATAGCCCTCGGGGCCTTCTCGGGAAGCCATACGAGCAGAGCTCAGACCTCTGCCTCTCTTTACAGGACTGCAAGCCTTTCAAAAATCAATTCGGAAGGGTCCCCTCTGGCACAAGTCCAACTCGTGATCTTCTCATTGCAAAGAAGTCAATACCAGATCCCTTCCTCCCTCCACTTTTTGTCTCGCTTTTGTGTCAGCCCCGTGTTTCGAGGTGTGCGTCCCGAGCGCTTCCAGGAAGCCAGTGTTGTGGGCGTGTGGCAGCTGATGGTCACGTGCAACGAGGCTGGTCGCCGGCGAAAGAGGGTCTGTCAGAAAGTCTCTAGAAGTCTCCTTGGCTGGTGATGGGTCACATGTCTGCAGAAAACTTGCAGCACTTTCGTTTGAACCTTGCAGTCTCAGAGGCTTGCTGGGAGGAGTGGAAGAATGTGACTCTTCACGACAGCAGGCAGCGTTTTGTATTCGAGTGGGAGTGGTGCTCCTACAGAAAGCAAGTTCAAGTTTCAATCTTGATCTGCCGAAAGGCTTGCTTTGGCAGACCTGCTCGACATTCCGTTTCAGGCACGCGATTTTTTCCCTAGCGAGTTCCCAGGACAAGCTCGCTGAGTTCTTTTGTTTCCATCATGCACTCTGCAGTCGTTCCGTGGGTTGTGTATGTGTGTGTTTTCCTCACCCTCCGTGTTACTCCTCGCTCGTTTCTCCGGGCATTTTTTCATATTTTCCAGTGCCCATCCCGCATAGAGTCCCTCCCGAAAGTAATCCCGCAGATGATCCTGGACTGCTCTCTGCATATCCCCACTTGTCATATGCTACGGACTATCCCTGGAATCCCCAATCCCGATCCCTGCAGACCTGTCAATAGCTTTGCTTTGGGTGGGGATGTTCGGAGTGGGTAACTTTTTTGCTGCTGAGTGGGTTTGCATGTTTGTGATTGCACTCCGTTTGCTTTTTAGTTTTGATGCTTCTTTCGGGTGCTGTTTGTCATGTTGGTTTTTTGCAAGCAGAAAACTTCAGGGAAGTGCTCCACGCAGGATTCAGGAGACCTCGAGCATGAAGCCCCGAAAACGAGAACCGAATACGCGAACAGACAAGCCGCAACTCCTCAAAATGCCAGGCTGCTTTCGTTTTCTGGGTTCAGATTTGACAGACCACAGCCAGACCGCACAGTACAGATTACCGACTACCGGGATTACCGACAGTATAGGTTAGCGATGGTGCTGCCTTGCAAAATCTTGGTGTCTACAAGCCTCACGGAAGCTGGCCCCGGTTCCCAGAATCTAGGAACGATGCCAGGAGGTGAACAAGGTCTCCATGACTTTTCATGCAAATGCGGGGGATGCGGCGGCTCGCCGGCTCAACACGGAGAAGTTGGCGACGTTCCAGGCCAGGAGATGTGATGACATGTTGTGGCTCGTGCTGGGAAGCCTGGATGGCATGGAATCTGCGTGTGTGCTTGAAGATCATGGTCACCACGAAGCGCATGGCAAAGAATGACATCAACACTCTGATGAGCACATTCTTGACTGACACGGCCGCTGCGGCAGATCCTTACCTTATCAACGGGGCACTTTTGCATGGTATGTCTCTCGAGAGCTGGCGCATTTTCAGCTTTGCTGGTTGCTCGAGTAATCCTGCTGTGCATGCTTCCGAATGCCGTGCTAGTTCTGGAATCAGTTCGCATGCGTGCGGGGAATCCTGAGAAGTTCATGGCCTTTGAAGTTATTGTGGGGTTGATCATGCTGACACAAAGCGGAGTCACGGTTTTCACATTTGCAGGGTTGGCTAACAGATTGGCCATTCGCAGTCGGGGATGGCTTGCCATTGCCAGCGTTGAATGGGTTGAGCTGGGATCGGCACCAAGTTCTCTAGGGCTGCCATCGAAGTCAGATTCGGCAATCCAAGGACGTCATGAACTTCCCGGTTTCGCAGGCTCGTTCCTCGCTTCCTCGGACGTGTTCATGGTGTTCGATTTGATTTGTCTTGTTGCCGTCTTTCCCAAAGCCTACAGATCACCATGACGGACATTAACGACGACGGGGAGTGGCGGAATGTTGAGACAGGTTGCAGCCTTGGACCGTGACAGGGCTGCTGTGATTAGATCGCGACAGCTTCTTGACTCCGTGGCTGCCCCAGCTTGTCCTTTAAATTAATACTTGAGGCTTGTACATGGAGTGTGCATGGAGCAAGTACCTTCGTTGCTCGCAGCTCAAGCATTGGCCTACGAAATTTCGGGCAGAATGACAGTCGCACACAGTGACAATGCTAGTTTCCCTCAGATTGCATACGCCCGAGCCGGGCATACTGGGTAGATCTGAGAAAGAGTAGACCTCCTATTCCAAGACTCTTCCCCGTTACCTTTGCTGCTACGGCGTCATGCAGCTGAAGCGCCGAGCTCAGCCGCTGCTGTCGTTGTTGCTATGTACTGCTGAATCTTTTGAAGTCAACTGGGTGCACACCCAGACCCGCATGCACGTGCACCATGTGCGTGTGCAGTCGTGTCCGAGAGCACGCGCGTGCACAGGTCGTATCACCATGAGCTCGCATTGTGTGTGTGTGTGTGTGTGTCGTTTTGTTTTTCATGTTTTTTCGTGATTTCAATGAGCTCATGCGTCGGTGAACAACCTGAACGCAAGTGGCCAATGCCGCGTGGTTGTTTTGTGTCGTGTTGTTGAGAGGCCGAGCCTGTGCTTGCAGTCCCGATTCCACGACCTCACGCGTGCTAGCGCCACGAATGGCTAATCATTTTTGTAAGTCTTGACCAATGGCAAGGCGAGATTCGACATCACCGCCCAACATGTGGTGTATATACTGAACTAGTAGCGACTCATGGCCAGTTCAACGCCCTTCTGTGCCATCCATGTCGGGGCCGGTGCATTGAGGCAGCAACCGGAGGATATTAGAACGAAGATCTGTTGAAGTGCTCCCCAACTAGTAGTGTTTCGAGTCGTGAGCACATAAGCGGCACTTTCGCTCACCGGTTTCAAAGTAACCCATTCCTGCACTTATCTGTGTTTGATGACTGAGGCCTGCCTGCCTCGGCTGCTTCGCAGCAGCCAAATCTGTGGAGGATGAGGTGCAGCTCTTGCTCTTTTGTAGTTTGCCGCTAGATTCGCTAGATCCCACTGTGATCATCCATTGAGGTGGCGACCATGCATGCAGCTGAACTACAGGTACGTAAAAAGTGCAAGATGGGCCAGCGCCGGCTCAACATTGGGCTCGAACTGTTGCCAAGAAGCCGAAACGGGCCCAAAATGAACCATTCGCAGCTTTGCATTTGGCAAAAGAAATCAAGAACCAAGGCCGTGGCGGACACCAAATGCTTTCATGTGGCTTTGACTGCCAAAGTCTGCGGACAGGTACAGGTGCAGCTGCCGCGGACACCCAGCAGTTCCAGTGTTCCCCAGGACACCTGCCAAGAGCAAGCAAGTGTTGTCGAAATTTTGGCCGGGTCAGTACTCACGCGAGGACGAGGTGATCCTTTCTCCGAAGCGCGATTCCCGCTGCCTTCCGGACAGCGGGGTGGCTTTGTAGATTCTTTGTAGCAGAAAATCCTACGGGCATCCTGACCTCAGGAGTTTCTTGCCGGGCAGTGGAAGCAGGCCGGAGTCTCCCAGGTTTCAGAGCGTAGATTTAGATGCGGGGTGGAGGCATGTGGAGGCATGTGGAGGCCGACCTTTTGAGTCTCGCGAGTTCCCTGAATTTCCCTGAGACCTTGTCGGACTGCAGCACCGTCCCGTCTGAGCCCACGCCGGAATGTCGGCGCAGTACGACGATGATGACAGACCCCGGGACGGCAATCAGAGAGGCCTTGAAGAGATGTGCCCAGCGCAATCGAAGCCTAGCGTGACCGTGTGTGCTCCATCGTCTTGGTAGCGAGACTTGGGGCAGGGCTCTTGGCCTTTGACACCTTGAGCCGAGGATATGACCTCGGAGTGTGTGCCCATGACTGCGTCTCCCTCCCCTGCTGAGCGCCCAAATGGCCGAGACCCAAGATCGGCACAGAAGAGGTGGAAGCGCGAAAGTTGTGCAGCTTGGAAGACTAGGCCGAGCCCTCGTTCTGCCTGATATTGTGCCGGGGCCACGGCATTACGAGCATTTTGTGAGCTTCCCAAGTCGAAGGGTGGCTTGATGACCCATCATCCCGTGCCTAGGCCTGCTCTGCAGCTACAGCACTTGCCGAGCAGATGCTCGGAGCAGTGATATTGCACTCGTAGGAAGTTCCCAGCTTCCGTCGAGCGCTTTGCGCCCACCCAGGAAGCTCTCCAGGCAGCCCCACTCACCATGACCAGTCGGGAACGTCCGGGGGGGAGGCTCGCAGCGCGGCCTTTCATGCTTCACTGCTGCAATGCGATCTTGCTGAGTAGCCTCCCACAGCCTCACTCTGCAGAATTGTTCAGACCTTCGGGCCTACAACGAGTTCCGTGCCTTTGCAGGAATCATCCCCTGTGGTTCGAAAGCGAAGCTGTGCTGCACGGCAACTTTCGACTTTTCCATACTTTTCCCAATTTGTGCCCTTCAGATTGCCAGAGCTGGCAGACAACGGAACTAGTCTCCTTGAACTCTCTTCTCACATTGTTTACAACTTGGAACGTGCACAAAGCTGAGACGTTGGAGATTCTAGCAGAGGCCCATTCTGAATCGGCCCTATTTTTTTGTTGAATGGCACTGAGTGGAAGCAACGGACCTTTGAACATCCCTGGGCCGAACCAAGGCGAGCTCTTCAAGTCTCTCTGGCGCTTCTTGAGGGTTACTGGCCACACCATGCCACACCCCCGATGGGTATGAACGGTATCTTCGGTATCTTCGGTATCTTGTGTGACGCGCGCGCAAGCTGCCTGGTTGTGACATCCTTTGACTCACGTGACAGGAAGATGGGGAAGCGGGTGACGGCAAGATTGACGGTGAAGAAGCACCCTGAGAGTCCTCGCTGTCTCATGGAGAGACAACGGAGTGCGATTCTCTCAGACTGCAGGGCGATTTGTGTGTACCGAGGTTCAAGAACTTGATTCGGAGATCGTCTTCCTTGCATGCCGCAAGCAGGCCCACAATCAGGAGTTCGAGTCATGTACAGCCACGTGCAGCTTGCAGCACACTCGGCAGGCACATCCCTTCCGAACTCGGAATTCCCTCGGAGCCGCCGCTGCTGACTCACAGAATCGACAAGGCCGGGCCAAGTGTGTAGCCTGATGTAGCCTGCAATCTTGCTACTTGTACCCGCTTGCCGCTTGCAGGCAACTGTTGCCAAAATCTGGGAAACCATGCAGAGGCCACGTCTCGGAAAGCAGCCAAATCATGCTGTTGCGTGCTACTGCATACTTTGTATTGGCATGCTTAGGATCAAGCATTGCCCATTGGGTTGACTGAGTGATCAACGTTGCATGTCTTTTTCAGTCGGGCAAGTCAACACCTGGTGTCTTGAACACTTCCTAGCATGAAGTCAGACAAGTGAACCCGTCGAATTTCAGCATATAACTAGGCAGAGGAAAAGGAACTGAACAGGATTCCCTTAGTTATGGCGAACGAACAGGGATCAGCTTGGGTTGCCAACCGGGGCTTCTGCCTTGGATGTGGGTGCCGACATGTACAGAAAGGGCCTCCAAAGCTTCCTTTGATCCTTCCCTTGATTGCTGGGGCTGGAAGGCCTCATCATTGCCCGCTGCTGCAGTTCCTGAGCCAGGCCTTCGTTTTTTTGTTTTCAAGGTACAAATGCAGTGGGTTGAATAGGCGCCAGAGAACCAGGGTACTTTTTTTCGGTGCATTGGGCTTGGGGTCAGTTGGGTGATTTTGCTGTTCAAACTGGCTCCCTGTTTCAATATGTATCATGCTTCGTTTCGGATTTGCAGCCTGCAGGCTTTGGAATTCAGGATCGGGATTGCAGCATCGTGGGTTTCAGGGACTGCTGGATTGAGAAGGGCAGTGTTGGGGGTGTGCCGCTTGTCTTCCGAATATTTGTTGCCGCCAGCCGAGATTATGCATATGGTCTCGGACGAGAACACCTTGAGTTTTGACAGCATGTTTCAGCTTCGAGAAGTACATGCATGACTGCACCGGGGCCACATGTCAACTGACCGGGTATTGACTCAGTGCTCACCTTAGACTTTGCTTGTTGGCTGATTGCGCTGAACAATATTGCAGAGAGGGGGGGAAGGAGGAGTGAAGAAACCTGCTGATCAGACCGTGTGAAAACACCATGTGTGCTGCCTCTGGTTCTGAAATTCTGCTCCTGGTGCAAGAGCACCACGAATCTTTCGTCTTGGCTCCGTACCCGCAGGTTGGTGGATGCCACGACTTCCACGCCTCCTTGTGGGAGGATTGCCAGGAGGTCCCGGCCGCCAAGGCCCTGAAGCGGAATCCTGAAAAATCGTGCTTAGACATGCTTAGGGCCCTGCTGACAGCTTCTTCAGTCAGCATCATGACAGACACATGCTGCCCTGCAACGCCATTCATCTGCAAGCCCCTGCAGCGCTCTGCAGATCCGGAAGTGCTGCTACATGGCGCCCATTCCTGACGACATCCCCAATTTCGCGAGGCCAATTCAGAATGGGATTCCTTGCGTCCTGCAACGTCCTGCACATTGCCTAACGAAGTTGACCGAGATGTACAATGTACAGCATCTTTACGTAGGAGCTCGAGGGAGTTGCTACAGCCGAGTCACGTGACAGGCGGCTCTTGAACATTCCTTCCCAGATCAGCCAGGACCTAATTTCTCGCTCAGCCTTGCAGGCAGGTTCCGCTAGCAGTACGAACTTGAGTGTGGAGTCATACTGAGGTACCTGCTCTGTGTGGCGGCTTGTCTACACCCCCGAGGACACTGGAAGCTTGCATGGGGCTCCCGATTGTGCGAAAGACGAGGGACGCCGGCCACGAATGGTCCTCGCTGGTTTTCTCTAGGGAACTGAAAGATTTTTGAACCTTGGCTTCTGCGAGGAGATGTGGTTCGTCCAGCAAAGTTATACTGGGGACGTCCTCTACGGCGACCGATTTAAGGTGCTCTGGGGTGAGCTTTGATTCCTTTTCAAAACCACAAAGAGTTCAAGCGCCTGCCATCCGCAGGTGCAGTGCACCGTGCGCTTCACTCAGGAGCTCGGGGATGCCTCGTGGGGGAATGTCTCGGGAGTTTGTGCGTCAGCTTCGTGGGCAGCACTTGAGGGAGCACAAGTTTCATATGCAAAGGGGTGCCTAATCGTGTGGTTTTAGGAGCCTTTTGTAACATTTCCCAGCTGCAGCCCGTACACAGACGCTCAAACTCAACCCATCTCCATCCTGTCTGCTGGTTTGCAGGAGCCAGAAGCGAAGAGTGTCGTGGTTGACCAGTGGGTGGAGATCGCTTGGGACCACATTTGTCAAGGGAGCTCTAACCGTTCCTGAGATTTGTGAAGAGATGCATTCACGACTTCCACTGGTTTGGTTCCCAAGTCTGTCTTGTATTCTGCTTGAGCATGCTTTAGCGTTATTCTGGCATTGGTTGCCTGCCGAGGCTTTTGCAAGGACAGTTTTCCACATAGCTAAGAGCAGCAGTCTCAAGCGTTCACGGATGTAGCGGCCACGGCAAGTCTCGTAAGATGGTTGGCTAAGACCAGCTTTCAAAGCACAGCCTGGATGCGCTTGCTGTCGCCGCCCCCTTTGCCGGGTCTTCTATTTGAATGCTTGGATGCTTTTTGCATGATCATACAATGTTATTACCCATTCAAGATGTAGGTTCGCTTCAATGTGAAGTTTCCCGAAGTTCTCCGGCGACTGGATTGTGTGTGGTTACCTGAAATTTTGTGCAGCCTCGAGGGTGGGACCCCCCGACAGCAGGACTGATGTCCTTACGATACCAAACCGAGCATAACATTTTGCTTTTCAGAATGGGGCATGTGGCATGCTGCTCGTAGCTGTTCGCTTGCATGGAGGACAAGCCTTTGCCTTTCACCCACGCTATGGTCAGCCGCCTACATTACGAAGTATTCGGCAGGTTCGCTACACAATGTTCCTTGCTACATATGATGAGGTTCGCTGCTTCATCGAAAGCAAGGCTCACGCCGATGGGCGGGTGCAGCTCTCAGATTGGAAGTCCCTGCGACAATAACGGTTGTATGGAGACCAACCGAGGCCCTTGGCGGTGATCTCGTGCGCTGCATTAAGGAAGTGCGGCCGAGTTACGTGTGCTTCTCTTCTCGTGCCAGTTTTTGTTGGCTTTTGTGGGCCACTTTTTGTGCGCTTCCAGCCCAGTCTCGTTCTCCAGGAAGCCGTGGAAGCCTTGGAATTGGAGGACCAGGCAAGAGCTTCTCTTCACAGAAGAGCTGTAATTTCAGAGAGATTCCGGCGTCATCGCGCTATGTAGGTTACAGCTTCGTAAAGATACCGCGGCACTAATATCAGCCGGAATCGGATCGAAGTCTTCAGGTGCTCGAAAAGATCAGGAGAACATAGGTGTGTCCACACCCGCACATCGCAGTTCATGTTTGCCATGTGTTGCAGGAAAATGATGCGCAGGGGCTTGCCCAGGTCCTGGCCGAGGCGAGTGGATTCTTGATGCTGCTTCTAGCGTTTTTCTTGCGCAGCTCGCCCCCGCATCTGCAGCAAGAATAACTACAGATGAACGTGACAACCCAAAAGTCCTGAGCCTAAAGCACGATACCTTAAAGGCTACGTGCTCAGACTGAAAACGCAACCCTGATTTTCACAGCAAAAACACATGCACAGCAACACCCCACCCATCTCCCCCCTCCCCCGCAAAAAGAATGTCCCGCGCGCTAGGAAGTCCGAGCCGGCAGTAAAGCATCGCCATGCACCGACAACAAGAAAAACAAAACTGGCGACCCTGCCCATTTTGACACGACACAAGGACACACCACTGACCGAACTTTGGGCTGAAGTTTGTGGCTCAATATTGAGGCACTCCAGACCTGTAGATGTTGGCGTTGCAGGCCTCCGCAGACGAAGCCCTGCAGGTCTTCGGTCAGCCCCCGCCATCAGCCGAGGACGGAACGCCGCGCTGCCTTCAAACGAACAAACCGTGCTTGCGGAGCTTTGATTGCCTTTCTTGCAGAGAACTTTGCCCTTTTGTTGCGCTTAGTGCTGCTTGAACAAAGAGTTGCTTGGTGCAAGCAGCACGTGGGGCATTCCTTGCACGCAGTGTCCACAGGAGCTGAGGAGGCAGAGTCTCTGAGCGATCGCAAGAGCAGAGTCCTCTGCAACTCTGAAGACACTGGAACCTCGAGGCTGAGGGCAAGCGGCTAGAGGCATCTAATATCATCTAATGAGGCCGGAGAGGCGTTAAAGTATTTGTCAAACCTGCAAGTACGTTGTCGTGCCCCTGAGCGAGATGCCAGGCATCTGCAGTTCCAGTAGTCGGCTCCCTTTTAGGGGATCCACAAGTGGGCTTAGCGTTACAGTTGTACGAATCCACGAATAGCAGATAATTCGACCATTTGGAGATGAGCAGCAGATCTCATCGCAGGTCGGGACGGATATGTTCGAACATCGCAATTCGCTACGACAGCCCTTTGTCCTTATTGCATCTAGGGACAATCAGTGCTTGCCTCTTCGGGGTCCATCAGAGGCCCGGAAATGGGCACAGCAGACTGCTCTAGCTCACATCATGTGCTTGTGTTGAAATGTGAAATTCTAGCATCTTGGAGAATTTGGTCTCTGTGCAGGCATAGGAGTTATTTTTTTCCAGCCCTGGAGTTTGATTCTTTGGGCGCAACCACTGGTGTGGCTACAAAAGCCGCGCATCTCATGAGCGTTGCGGGATTGCCATCCCGAACCATGTTTGCCGCAATACCGCAAGGATCCCTAGGCCAAATACATGAGATATATATATATATATATATACATATACGTATACGGTACCTCGCCCCTGTGGATCCTACCTGGTACCTCTAAACCTTCAATCTGTATTTGCTAAAGATGCCTTGGAATTCTTGTCGTGATTGTAGTGTTGCAATACTCACATTCCTACTTATACAGCGTATTTTCTTTATGTGTATGCGTAGGTTGCGAATATGGTAATATAGTAGTATGGCAATATAGCTTTACAATATAGTGATGTAGTAATGTAGTGGTGCAGTAATGTAGTAATGTGGAAATGTAATAATGTGGTAATGTAAGCTATAGTAAAATTAGAATATAGTAATATTGGGACATAGCAATGTGGCAATATAGTAATTTAGCAAGATGCCAGAATAGCAATACCGGAATGTAGATATCGGAATGTAGTAACGAACAAGATCGCAAATTAGTAATACCGGTTTTTCGTAGTATTGTGTGACCGCAGCATCCTGAAGCAATTCAAGAGAACTTGTGGTTGGTTGGCACAGCCGCGTGCACCTGACTAGAACTGGGTGCATGGCCCTGCTAGTATACAGGGAGATCTAAGTTGGTAAGATCGGGCATGCCATGCGCCCTCAGTGCACTAGCTGGAGGGCGTGTCAGGGTGCACGTCAGCACTCGGGTGTCTGCTCGGTGGGTTTGCCCCAGCTGGTAGAAGGGATCATGTGCGAGTGTGATTGCTTTGGTGTTGCGCAGACTCTTGAGACCCCCAGCTACATCCCGTACCCCAACTCCGTCACGACCTCTGTGACAGAGGATGCTCGGACTCAGAAGTCAGGGTTTCGGGCGCAGGGGTATCAGGGGTTGCTTGGAATGCAGAGGAAGTGTGCACAAGTGGTGAAGTGTGGAGATGTGAGAGTCGTTAGAAGATCTTTTAGGCATGGGGCAAAAGAAGCCGTTCCGTTCCAAGCGCTGCTTCCTTCTGATCACGACCCTGGACCGGCAGGGACCGGCATGGACCGTCACCAGCGCCACTCAGTGTGGTGTTCAAGGACAGGCCAAGGGGCTTCCCAGCCTCGATCGATCGCGGCGCAAACTCGTGCTGAAAGATGCGAAGTGGCTGGACGTTCTGAAGGGTTTCGCGCGTTTTTGAGATGTTTCGTGTTTATGTTGATTGCCAATCTCTGCTTCTTGGCCCTGTTGAACCTGCGACTGAGGCAGTGGAGACCAGACTGATGTGATGGATGATAATTCTGACCCGTACCAGGCAGGGAGACATGCGTTCCAAGCGTGCCAGATCGCGAGCTTTCGGCCGGCAGAAGAGGTGTCGCGATTCTCATAAAAGTGCTTTAAAACCACTTTCTGACTGAAACGTTGGAGCGTTGCGCTGAAGAAGCTGCACTTCCAATTCCAATATCCCAAAACCTGACGTAGGGCGCCTACGACGAGAGGGAGCCCAGAAATGCACAGACCTCAAGCTTCTGTCGTGAAATGTGGCGCTTTGATTTGTATCTTGCTTGCTAAGAACTGGCAATCCATCGGAGGCCCGATGCTTGGGCTGGACTGCGGATACAGCGGTTGGCTTGACGGTTGCAGCAACGCCAGGCATCCCCACTGGAGACCTTCCTGTTGGCGTTGTGGAGACCTCAGATCTCATGACCTTTCAGCCGCGTTGAGCGCAGCTTCGTGGTGGGACCTGTTGCCTCCTTGGAAACAAATCTGAACACAGAACAAGGACGAACTAAAAGAGACAGAGCGAGAGAGAGCTTTGCTAGATTTACTGTACCATTGCAGCCCTGCAAGAGCCTGAGATCGTTGGCGTGGCCATCGCTGTGATCTTCGCCGGCTTTGGCTTCGGTTTCTTCGTCGCTTGGCGAAAGGAGTTTGGTCGATGGGCGACTCACGGTAAGGCTTCCAGGATCGTACCTGACGTTATCTGACGCTTTGCTGCGTTCGGTGGCCACTTGCATTGGGTGAAACCCTGCCGCTGTCCAGATCCTTTGGCGCCGCCGTCGGGCCATCACCGAGCCTTGATCTCAGCCTCAGACAGTGCATGTTCAGTGAAAGCAGCGCACTGCTCAGAGAGCTGGACTTCTGACAGAGTCCTGAACAGCAATCGCTTCCCCCCGAAATATTCAAGGCCCCGCCCTGCAAGAATAAACATGTCTCCGTGAACGTGTAATAGGCGGTAGGCGGACGAATTTGTAAATAGGGATTGGATCTGCAAGGTTGTGTTTTTGAGCAACCTCCTCCCCCACCCTACTCGGACAATTTCCGGAAACACACGCGTACGCATTTGATTTTGAAGAGGGACCTTTCATGATGGGGGAAGGCATGATCCCATGAAGCCTTGCCCAACCTTGTGAAAGCATGGCCAGGATTGCAGCGGGTCAGCGTGTTGTCACTGCCGCAGGCCTTGGGCATTGGGGGAGGGAGCGCAGCTGGGCAAATTCTTGTTCTGGAGTGAAACTCCCCCCCCCTCCCGCAGGTTCAAGAGTTCGAGGCTTGAGAGCCAGTTCAGATTTCGGTCTTTCTTTCTTTCTTTCTTTCTTTCTTTCTTTCTTTCTTTCACACTTTCACACTTTCACACTTTCACACTTTCGCACTTTCACACTTTCACACTTTCACACTTTCACTCTTTCACTCTTTCACTCTTTCACACTTTCACACTTTCACTCTTTCACTCTTTCACTCTTTTACTCTTTCTTTCGCTCTTTCTTTCGCTCTTTCTTTCACTCTCTCACTCTCTCTCGCTTGCTCCGTCTGACTATTCGTCTCGGAAACCCTCAACCCTGAGTATCACCTCAAAACATGTAAAGTTTTTTTTTGAAGGTCCAGGAGAAGTGCCTTTGACAGCCCTCTTGTTCTCTTTCCCGCGTTCTCCAGGAACGATCATCGGAAGCGGCGGACCGCCACCAGGCTCGGAGCTGCACGAAGTGAAGGGAAGTGAAGTGAAGTGATGTGAAGGGGAAGCTTGTCGGATAGCAGTGCAGTCATGTAGCAATGTAGCAACATCGCAATATGCCCTTTGCAAGGGAAGCAAGTGGACGACCCGACGGTTCCGCAGAAGCCAAGCCCAACTCCAGAGGCAGAGACACTCAGAGAGCATGGCAAAACATCCCCACTTTTATGGCGGGACATCTCACAGAGCTCACAGAGCCGCCAAAGCTACGTGAAACCCGAGTTGAGCTGCCTGATGTGTCTACAATCGAATGCTTGCACAGCATTTCACAGATCTTTTTGCAGGACCTGAACCGAAAAGCCGAGGCCGTTGGGATCGTAGTGACTTCGTGGGGATTGTAACGCTACTGGGCATTGCTAATGAATGGGACTGGTCTCTTGGTCATGCTTTGGTAGCATGCCGTGGCGTTCGTGGCGCCTTGTGCTTCGATTTGGAAGGGCTGTCGAATGGACTGTGTCAGGCTCCATGGTGAGTGAGAGCTTACGCGCTGCATTGTACGCGCTGCTTTGTACAGAGGATGCGTCTGCGTGGACGCCACAACATACAGTGACAGGAACTACGTAGTGATAGATTTCAGTGAGTGTTGCAACTCCCATGTAGACCTG